TGTGTTGGTGTGTTGGTGTGTTGGTGTGTTTTGTGTGCTGGTGTGCTTTTTTGTTGGTGGCTTGGTGTGTTGTTGGGTTGTTGTGTTGGGGTGTTGGTGTGTTGGTCTGTTGGTGGGTTGGTGGGTGGGTGGGTTGGTGGGTTGTTGTGTTGGTGTGTTGGCGTGCTTTGTGTTGATGTGTTGGTGTGTTGGTGGGTTGGTGGCTTGGTGTGTTGTTGGGTTGTTGTGTTGGTGGGTTGGTGCGTTGGTGCGTTGGTGCGTTGGTGTGTTGGTGCGTTGGTGTGTTGGTGTGTTGGTGTGTGGGTGTGTGAGTGTGTTGGTGCGTGGTGGGTTTGGTGTGTGGTGTGTGGTGTGTTGGTGTTGTTGGTGTGTTTGTGTGGTGGGTGTTGGTGTGTTGGGTGTGTTGGTGTGTGTTGGTGTGTGTTGGTGTGTTTTGGTGTGTTGGTGTGTGTTGGTGTGTTGGTGTGTGTTGGTGTGTTGGTGTGTTGGTGTGTTGGTGTGTTGGTGTGTTGGTGTGTTGGTGTGTTGGTGTGTTGGTGTGTTAGTGAGTTAGTGAGTTGGTGTGTTGGTGTGTTGGTGTGTTGGTGTGTTGGTGTGTTGGTGTGTTGGTGTGTTGGTGTGTTGGTGTGTTGGTGTGTTGGTGTGTTGGTGTGTTGGTGTGTTGGTGTGTTGGTGTGTTGGTGTGTTGGTGTGTTGGTGTGTTGGGGTGTTGGTGTGTTGGTGTGTTGGTGTGTTGGTGTGTTGGTGTGTTGGTGTGTTGGTGTGTTGGTGTGTTGGTGTGTTGGTGTGTTGGTGTGTTGGTGTGTTGGTGTGCTGGTGTGTTGGTGTGCTGGTGTGCTGGTGTGCTGGTGTGCTGGTGTGCTGGTGTGCTGGTGTGCTGGTGTGCTGGTGTGCTGGTGTGCTGGTGTGCTGGTGTGCTGGTGTGCTGGTGTGCTGGTGTGCTGGTGTGCTGGTGTGCTGGTGTGCTGGTGTGTTGGTGTGTTGGTGTGTTGGTGTGTTGGTGTGTTGGTGTGTTGGTGTGTTGGTGTGTTGGTGTGTTGGTGTGTTGGTGTGTTGGTGTGTTGGTGTGGTGGTGTGTTGGTGTTTTGGTGTGTGGAGTGTGGGGGTGTTGGTGTGTTGGTGTTTTTGGGGTGTTTGTGTGTTGGGGTGTTGGTGTGTTGGTGTGTTGGTGTGTTGGTGTGTTTGGTGTGTGGTGTGTTGGTGTGTGGTGTGATTGTTGTGTTGGTGTTTTGGCTGTGTTGGTGAGTTGGTGTGTGGTGTTTGGTGGTGTTGGTGTGTTGGTGTTTTGTGTAGTTTGGTGTGCTGGTGGTTGGTGTGGTTGGTGGTTTGGTGTGTTGGTGTGTTGGTGTGTTGGTGTGTTGGTGTGTTGGTGTGTTGGTGTGTTGGTGTGTTGGTGTGTTGGTGTGTTGGTGTGTTGGGGTGTTGGGGTGTTGGTGTGTTGGTGTGTTGGTGTGTTGGTGTGTTGGTGTGTTGGTGTGTTGGTGTGTTGGTGTGTTGGTGTGTTGGTGTGTTGGTGTGTTGGGGTGTTGGTGTGTTGGTGTGTTGGTGTGTTGGTGTGTTGGTGTGTTGGTGTGTTGGTGTGTTGGTGTGTTGGTGTGTTGGTGTGTTGGTGTGTTGGTGTGTTGGTGTGTTGGTGTGTTGGTGTGTTGGTGTGTTGGTGTGTTGGTGTGTTGGTGTGTTGGTGTATTGGTGTGTTGGTGTGTTGGTGTGTTGGTGTGTTGGTGTGTTGGTGTGTTGGTGTGTTGGTGTGTTGGTGTGTTGGTGTGTTGGTGTGTTGGCGTGTTGGCGTGTTGGTGTGTTGATGTGTTGGCGTGTTGGCGTGTTGGGTGTTGGTGTGTTGGTGTGTTGGTGTGTTGGTGTGTTGGCGTGGTTGGTGTGTGTGGCGTGCTGGCGTGTTGGCGTGTTTGCGTGTTGGCGTGTTGGCGTGTTTGTCGTGTTGCGTGTTGGCGTGTTGGGGGTGTTGGTGTTTGGGGTGTTGGCCAGTGTTGTGGCGTGTTTGGGGTGGTGGGGGGTTTGCGTGGTTGGCCGTGTTGGGTTGTGTTGGTGTGTTGGTGTGTTGGTGTGTTGGTGTGTTGGTGTGTTGGTGTGTTGGTGTGTTGGTGTGTTGGTGTGTTGGTGTGTTGGTGTGTTGGGGTGTTGGTGTGTTGGTGTGTTGGTGTGTTGGTGTGTTGGTGTGTTGGTGTGTTGGTGTGTTGGTGTGTTGGTGTGTTGGTGTGTTGGAGTGTTGGTGTGTTGGTGTGTTGGTGTGTTGGTGTGTTGGTGTGTTGGTGTGTTGGTGTGTTGGTGTGTTGGTGTGTTGGTGTGTTGGTGTCTTGGTGTGTTGGTGTGTTGGTGTGTTGGTGTGTTGGTGTGTTGGTGTGTTGGTGTGTTGGTGTGTTGGTGTGTTGGTGTGTTGGTGTGTTGGTGTGCTGGTGTGTTGGTGTGTTGGTGTGTTGGTGTGTTGGTGTGTTGGTGTGTTGGTGTGTTGGTGTGTTGGTGTGTTGGTGTGTTGGTGTGTTGGTGTGTTGGTTTGTTGGTGTGTTGGTGTGTTGGTGTGTTGGTGTGTTGGTGTGTTGGTGTGTTGGTGTGTTGGTGTGTTGGTGTGTTGGTGTGTTGGTGTGTTGGTGTGTTGGTGTGTTGGTGTGTTGGTGTGTTGGTGTGTTGGTGTGTTGGGGTGTTGGTGTGTTGGTGTGTTGGTGTGTTGGTGTGTTGGTGTGTTGGTGTGTTGGTGTGTTGGTGTGTTGGTGTGTTGGTGTGTTGGTGTGTTGGTGTGTTGGTGTGATGGTGTGTTGGTGTGTTGGTGTGTTGGTGTGTTGGTGTGTTGGTGTGTTGGTGTGTTGGTGTGTTGGTGTGTTGGTGTGTTGGTGTGTTGGTGTGTTGGTGTGTGGTGTGTTGGTGTGTTGGTGTGTTGGTGTGTTGGTGTGTTGGTGTGTTGGTGTGTTGGTGTGTTGGTGTGTTGGTGTGTTGGTGTGTTGGTGTGTTGGTGTGTTGGTGTGTTGGTGTGTTGGTGTGTTGGTGTGTTGGTGTGTTGGTGTGTTGGTGTGTTGGTGTGTTGGTGTGTTGGTGTGTTGGTGTGTTGGTGTGTTGGTGTGTTGGTGTGTTGGTGTGTTGGTGTGTTGGTGTGTTGGTGTGTTGGTGTGTTGGTGTGTTGGTGTGTTGGTGTGTTGGTGTGTTGGTGTGTTGGTGTGTTGGTGTGTTGGTGTGTTGGTGTGTTGGTGTGTTGGTGTGTTGGTGTGTTGGTGTGTTGGTGTGTTGGTGTGTTGGTGTGTTGGTGTGTTGGTGTGTTGGTGTGTTGGTGTGTTGGTGTGTTGGTGTGTTGGTGTGTTGGTGTGTTGGTGTGTTGGTGTGTTGGTGTGTTGGTGTGTTGGTGTGTTGGTGTGTTGGTGTGTTGGTGTGTTGGTGTGTTGGTGTGTTGGTGTGTTGGTGTGTTGGTGTGTTGGTGTGTTGGTGTGTTGGTGTGTTGGTGTGTTGGTGTGTTGGTGTGTTTGTGTGTTGGTGTGTTGGTGTGTTGGTGTGTTGGTGTGTTGGTGTGTTGGTGTGTTGGTGTGTTGGTGTGTTGGTGTGTTGGTGTGTTGGTGTGTTGGTGTGTTGGTGTGTTGGTGTGTTGGTGTGTTGGTGTGTGGTGTGCACGGTGTGTGTTGGTGTTGTGTGTGTGTGTGTGTGTGTGAACAATCGCTGCGCGTGCGATGAATAGCACAAGAGGGGTGTGTGTGTTGGGCGGCGGGCTGTGTGGCGGAGGCTGTGGGGGCTGCAGGGGGTGGGGGGTGGGGGGGGTGCATGAGAAAAGAAACATGAAAGGAGAACCGGCGACAACAAATCCTTTATCAGAAGTGCCCACAAACCAGCATCACGATTACAAAAGTGCGCGCAAAATCAAACCCCGGCCCCATGTCAAATGTCACAGCATTGGAATCACCCTCACGGTTGGTGCCTCTGTGGCCATCCTCCTGGCAGGCCAGCACGGCCTCGCCACGCCTCAACAGGCGCACCTGAAATTGAAAAAATGTTGAAGTGGGCCGTCTGGCATTGAAACGATCCAAGATCAAGATCTTTCGATCCGGCCTTCGTCTTTCGCACGGGTTCTTTGCTCCGATAGACCTGCCACTTTGCACAGAAACGTCCTAGTGCTGAAGCTCCATACTGTGCTCTTGGATTGAGGGTGCATGCTTCCACTCTCAGTCTCAGATGCGCGCACTTGAAACTGACCATAAGTTAAACAACTAGGAATGACCGGCGGCCTCTAGCACGAGAGCTTCCGCGTAGTGAGGCCAAGCACCGTCCCATGCCTGCGCGCTTCCATGCTAAACAGAAAGAGCTTCAGCAGTTTTAAGCAGTTAGGCCAGAAGAACTGATTGTGATCAGGGCAATGCTAATAACTAACATATCGAACGGCAAAGTTCGCTAACAGCTGAGAACAGCAAGAGCATTGCTCTTGAGCGGTTTCAACACTCTCGCAAAGCCCATAATCATCACAACTACAGCTCATTACAGTCCTTTCCTACATCCTTCCCCGCCTGCAGACCCAGCAGCAGCGGCACGATCATCGTGTCCCCGACCACCCGCAAGGAGAGTGGCGGCACCTTGCCCAGCGCCTCCATTACTGAAGTGACACAGCATGGCATAGCTCCGTGGCTTGGGTGGATCGGGCGGCTTGCGCCATCTCGCAAACCATATTATACATATATATATATATATATGTATCCCTTCCTGTTTCACTTTGGACTTCTCACAGCTTCAAGCAACGTCACCTACCAAGAATGCACCGCATTGTACCGCATGGCACCGCCTGCTTCTCTGCATAGTCTCTCATCTCCAGGAGGGCTGGAGCAGCAAGCAGAGTGTACTCGAACACATCCTGCCAAACTTACCAGACGCTGGCCCGCTGCTGTGCAAGGGTACACCGAGTCATCAGCCTGCAAGTACGACGCCTGGACCATGGCGGCACTGATCTTCAGCGCCTCATGAAAAAGATCGGAATCCTGCACAAGACTTTGAGGACGAGGGAGGGCAAGTTCGGGCAACTGCAAGAATCAGCCAAAAAGCGCTTCTGGACCATGTCCATGGATACCCATGTGATGCCCGATGTCCGGCTGAAGCTGTGGAGGCAGCTGCAAGAAGGACTGGTTTGTACCTCAGTCACGGCTGCAGGTTGTGCCACATGAGCTCATGTCATCCAGCAGCCCGAGCAACCCGAGCAACCCGAGCAACCCGAGCAACCGAGCAAACCGAGCAGCCCGAAACCCGCAAACCTGGCATCCAAGGAACAGAGTGCCACCTCTAAGCAGTCCCAAGTGTCGTGAGTGAACTCAGCGCCAGCAAGTGACCGCCACTTTGCAAGAAAATCAGGATGGCGCCGGGCATTCCTGGCACATGCGAAGGAGAAAGCGAACGGTATTCACACCCGAGGCGTTTTCCTCACAACGAAAGAAGTCTAGAGGATCAAAATTGAGAAGGCAGAGAGCTCAGCCCGACGCTCACCCGGTCTCCCCAAGGCTCCTCTTAAGGTCCCCCCGTGGAGTTTTTTAGCAGGGATCCGAACATGATTCCACATGACGCCACATGACTCCACTGTGGGCAGAGTTAACAGACTTCAATGTGAGAGCGCTTTATCCCTCGATTTCGCTGCACGAAAGATGAAACGAAACGGTGTTCAGGGAGAAAAGCGGCCGAGCACTCCCAAATGCTGCCTGGGCCAAAGGAGCCTGCATTGCTGCACCATGACACCACGTGCGGACAGGAAAGGGGAGTTTCGAAAGTTCTCACACTTTGCTTTGCACCAGCAAAGACTCCAAAGCGATTGAGCGGGAAAAAAGCGATCAGATGTAATTCCGCAACTAGGCCAGAGACATATGAGCCGTGTGAGCTCAAGCAAAATTGGCGTGGACCGCAGGCGCCGCAGACTTCGGCATTAGACACATCATAACATTGTCCTTGCGAAAGAACTGCAGCGCAATTGAAGAACTGGAGCGCAGCTCAAGGCCAACACCCGGCAACACAACGACCCCACGAGTTCACTCGGAGGTGAATATCATCCCGATCAGGCTCTCCTCCTGATGACAAGTCCAGCTTCGGAGCATCCTTCAACAGCTTGATACAGCTTGTACAACGCCTGCTGTATCCGAACCTCACTGGCCTCCGAAATCTTGGCGCGGGCTCGTCGGAATTGACAGGGGAGACTCAAAGGGCCCGAACCCTTCAGCCTGCCACTCTCAACCGCTCACCCACCAACGCTCTTCATCCCAACTGACCGGACACTCCGGCGTCAGTCGGAAGTATTCTGTTGCCTGTGGGGCCTGAACCTCCTGAGTATCAGGGAGGCCAAGTTCGCTCTGGATCTGCGTATCTTTTCCTATCTGAAGCTGCTGCCAGTTTTTCTAGCAACCCAAGCAAGACATCACACTGCTCATCAGTGGCACGACCAGCTAGCCCTTCAAGGTTTCCCCATATTCCAGCTTGGGCTGCCAAAAAAGAGTCAAGTTGGGCCGCAGATTCCGTCCACTTTTCTTTCATGCTCTGCCAGGAGGGCCATCGTCCACACATACTCGGAGGGCAAAAAGGCAATTTTTCCTGTTGACGCGCATCATGCTTCTAGATTGAAACACCTGCTCCAAACACTTGATGTTGCGCCGTTCGCAGCTGAACACACTGGCCAAGCAGTTTAGATCTTCGCGCCAGAATAAGGCTATAGAGCATTCATTCCCTGAGGGGTATGATCGAGATCCGCCATCTACCCTAGCTCCGCCTCTTGCGTCTCCAGCCGTGACAACATGTCCGCAGGAATCACTTGCCACAGCTTGTAGTTGCGGTGCTGAGCTAGCAGCTGCTGCATGTTGTTGCGGCTGTTCTGGCTGAACGGTTGTGGAGTTTATTGAACCCAACGGGATCCCTTGGGCTCAGAACCTCTTGCTGGTTTGTGAGGTTAGGACACGGGGGGCCAGACACACGACTGCAATGCGAAGGTGCAGGATTCGAAAGGTTTGCTCTTAGGCACACTGGTAAATCATCTAATGGATTGTGCTCTTGATCCATCGCCTCAAACACCCTTCCAATCCCACTCCCTCATACACCATCCACTCCCACATGTCATCTTTCCACGAACCTTGAGCCACATATGTGGCAGTTGTCATCCTGGCGCAGGGGCCATGTGGACCACATATCCTGCGTAACTTAATCAGCAGGCCAGGTCAGATTTCGGCATAGCGATATCACGTCACACAAAGAAATACAAGGACGCCGATGATGCCGGATCCGCTCCACGCAAGGGTTCAGTTCCTCGCTTGGAGGGTTGAAATGACAACGGTTCTTGCTGCACTTCATGCTGGTTTTGCTGAATTCTTTGATCGCACTCGTCGTGTGAGATAGCAGCAAAAAACATTGTTTGGGGTCGAAGTGGAGATTTCTGCAATACACTCGTCTGTCGCTAACCCTGCTGAAAATTGCTCCTCAGGCAGTTCTGCGGTAGAAACTTCGTCTTCTACCAACATACGATGCATGTTGATGCTTGCAAGTCTTCACGGTATGCGCCTGGGGATAGAGAGAAGCTAGAATCTATCAAAGGCTACCTCCGGAAACTTCCCGCTGCTCAGGATTTCAAGGGCGCTTTGGCTACCCCAAGACGGTGGAAGTTAGCAAGTAACCTTGGACTCCCCGAGCAAGCACCCGATGAAGGCTTTGCTAATGGATTCCTTGGTCCGCGTGCTTGAGAAGAACCAGCAGATCGGAATAAAATCGATCTTTTGCGAACGCAGCCAGATTTGGTCATTTCATCGACGGCGGGCCTGGAAAAATCATGTTGCCCTTTTAGAGGCGGAGTGTCGAAGACTGGAACAGGAGGTCAGAGATGCGCGAGCTGCTCAAAGTAGTGAGGCGCGCATCGCTTCAGACGCAGAAGCAAAGGGGCAAAGGGGCTGTTGGAGGGGCAAGGAATGTCCGCTCTCTCATAGGTCCGAGGGGACTGAATGGGCAGAAGGGAACGGGTTTAGAAGCTAAATGGAAACAAGCAACCACCAGCAACCAAGAACCCCAGCCTATCTCAGGGATCAATCGTGCAGTGATGGCAGTCTCAGGCAGCATATGAGCTGTGAGCACATTCTAGCTGACGGGCTTACAAAAACATTTGCTCGCTTGAAATTGGAAAAAGCCAGAAAGCGACTCTAGATATCATTCGAGTCAGTCCTGGGCAAGGGTGTGGCACGTGTTTAAAGATTAAGTATTGTGACCTTGGACAAAGGAACAGTCCCAGTCAAGGGCAGGTGCATGTTGTTGACCAATTCCATTGGGAGATCCATTGGAGGATTTTCCAGTGCATAAGAGCAAACCTTTCAAGTCCTGCACCTTCACATTGCAGTCGTGTATCTCATCAGACAAACCAACAAGAAATTCTTTAAACTTTCGGTTCGAAGAGGGCTCTTCTGGAGAAGCACACTTCCACCTAAACAGAGGAGCTAGCCATGCCTGGCAGGATCCACGAAGACAATCATGCCCCATCCGAATCAGCCATCGCGACAACTTTGATTTCAGAATTGGGATGGATTGGGGGGAGTGAGGGACAAGCGCAGAGCACTTAGACAGTTGGCCTCAAACAAAACAAGGCATGATCTCAAGCCAAAGATCTCCATGGCGACAGCAGATTTTCTGGCCTGCAGCTCAGATATTGCGAAGTGTACGGGATTGTACGGGGCTCGAGGTCTCGCAAAGGTACCTTCGCCTGCTGCCCTCGCGGGCACGTGGCCGACATGTGCCAGGGATCTATATCTGCTGGTTGAGTCTCAACGACAAGGCCTCACACGAAGGACAACACTGAAAAGCCCATCTGCAGCAAAACAAAGCGGGCAAGTAAGGCAAGTAATGGCAAGTAGCAGGCCTGCACTTGAGGCCCCGAACAGGAAGTGTTGGAGGAGGATCAGCGAAGCCATCATGCGCTCGACGTCGACAGAGAAGAGCTGGACCTTGCTCCGGAGCTCTTCCTTCCTCAGAGCAGCGAACTGGCAAAAATCTGCACAAAGGGAGAAGAATGGAGAAGAGCACAGCAAACAGAGCATGATGGACGAGTGGACAACACCCCGCTTCGCGCACCGAAATTCTTCCAGGAATCTGCGGAAGCCTAGGTGAATCTTCAGCGAATCTTAAGTGAGCCACAATTACCATGGTGAACAAAACTGGTAGCGCAAGGTGCAGATGCAGATCTGCGAACCCAAGCGACTTCGACAAGTAGGACTGGGTCAGCTTGTCTGCCAGTGCACGAAACTGGTCCACAGCTTCATCCAGCAACTGTCCTTTGACACATGTGCCTGGGAAAAAAGCAGGCTCAAGGGCATCCACCTGTCTTTAGGAGAAACTGGGGAGTTGTTCGGGTTACCATATCTGCCGTTCGGCCATCTCTGCAGCTAGGCCTCTCTCCAAGGCAGGTTCGGTCCCGTAAGTGTTGTGGTACTGCTTAGGGATTGCGGCGGAGCCCTCTGACCAGTCCTGAGCTTGGCGCTTGCGACAACCTTCTCCTCTCTCCACTCTTGTCGCTCAACATGGCACATGCCCTGCCCAAGGCTGCCACCACACCACCCATCGGCTTCAGGTGGCAGCTCGACAAGTTGCTGGGAGAGCGGATGGGATGCACGCAACTCAGATCACATGCAGTCGTCCGCGCACCATGTCGCAGGATCACCTTGGCATGGAAGCACAGGTGCTGAACCTTCAAAGAAAAGCTGAAAGCTGTACGAACGACATCCGCCACAGATCCACATCCAGTTACCTGCATCCCCACAAAGTCCAGATCGCTGCTCAATGCGTCCAGCGGCCCAGGAAGCATCGATGCAAGTGCGGCTGCCCGGCCACAGTAATCACTGAAAGCCTCATGACATTAGAAGACAAGATGTAGGGATGCTGAATGTTGTGTCTTCAACTGCATTGAGCCTCTGCTTCGAGCTGGGCCAAAACACCTCCCTGGATCAAAACACCTCCCTGGATGCGCCTCTTCATTCTGATAGAATGTCGTCACTCTTGTCGGATAGGTCAGGAACCAGACCAACCGCGGCAGCATGGCACTTATAAGGCTACATCTCGATGCCATGAGACTGGCCCAACAGGATGCGCCAAAGCCAATCTGACATGAAACGATGATGATTCAAGCAAAGCAGGAACTGCAGGCGTAAAAAAGTACAAATGTGTTGTCGAACAGCCGAGATGGACTGACAGGCATCGGCAACAAAGCCTCTCCTGCTGATGCTATCTGGCTTACTTTGAGCCGACTTCAGGCGCTCTGTTGCTGGTGCTACACGCCAAAACAGGTGCGAGCAACACGTGCAGCCAAGTTGAGGTGCACACGCTATCTGCGAGCCTTCGACCAATAGGAAATGGCTCGGCAGTTCAACTATGAGAGAATGCTGGATTAAACATGTACTCCTTACAGCCTCGTTAGCCTCATCTCGGTGGTCAAATTTGCACGTGCGAAACAGAGCACATGAGCACACGTCGCCTTGTCTGATTTGATCTTGTTATATGTTCTGTTTCATATCTAAGGCAATTGAGCCTCCATGGCAGGCAAGTCAGAGCGAGCAACGGATGCTGAATACTTCCCGAAGCATGCAAACTCCCTTGCACCGCTTGCATTTGCCTGCATGCCTGGCCATGGATATCAGCGACGTGACGCAGACAGGATGCTGCTGGAAATGACATGGCACGTTGTTGGCATCAGTACAAGCTTCAAGCACGTGCTTGTGCTTCAAACTACTCCGGCCATGCAGCATGCCACAGACTCTCAGCCGAAACTACTGAAAACTGTCCCTAAGTGCTAGTTTTGAAAGCAGATTCCATGATCGTGACTGAGGGTGGGACCGCTCACCTCGAACAAAGCTTCCAGCTGGTTCAACATCATTTCACGAACACTGGGCCTTCATGTTGGCAGCAACAAATTTCACAAAAACACTTTCGCAGATTCGGGTCTGGGCACAGCAGGCTTACACAGGCAAGAGAAATGCACTCATGGCGTTGCGGAATTGCACGTGCATGCTTGCTGCAAAGCCAAGAATGATGGACAAGTTCTGCACCAAACAAGCCCTACTTCACAGAAGATGATCCGGCCAATCTGTCAAAAGACTTCTGGTGAGTCCAAGCAACCCCAGCCTTGTGTTGCAAAAGACTCTGTGCGCAGGCTGTGCGCAGGCGGCACAGTGTCAAACAGTGAAAATCAACACGGAACCTCTCCGAGCCAAACGCCGGCGAAATGGCGAAAAGTGCAATTGGGCGAGAAGGTGACGATTAGCAAGCTGACGTAGACTGAACAATTTAATGATGCGCTTGTGAACACGGCATATAGCGTAATTACTGTCTACACAGAGGCTACACATAAGTCTCAAATCACGCATTTGAAGCTAACATTCCCTTTCATCGACAGATGCAGGAAAGAGGAAGAATGACCGTCTCGCTTCAACATGTCTTTCAGCAGCCTGTGACCTGAGTGATACGTTGCTGAAGACTACGGCTTGCCGAAAGAGATGAAAACAAGAAACCAAATGAGGCTCGCTCTGATGCAAAGCCCGCCAACGCAAAGAACGACCTGGCAATGCTCGACGTCAAGACATGGCCCAGGTACCTTCGGATCCCACAAAACTCAGATGTGATTGAAAAACTCCCGTCTGGGTTTGCCCTTCCCATTCCCAAGTCGTTTTCCTTAGGAGTTGATGGTAGCAGGAGTTTATGTGAGTTTGGGAGTTTAGGAATTTGAAGTGTGGGGTGGAGGAAATTAGGAGTTTAGGGAACGTTCTTTAGACATCATGTCACGGCATCGACTACACAGGAGCAAGATGTTGGCTGTCACCGACGTGCCTCCCACGCCCGCGCGCACACAAAGTGATGCTTGCAGAACTAGCGATGATTGGTTGAACTTTGCTGCAGGTCCCAGTTATCGGCTTGCAGGCAATTGCAACCAACATTTGAAAGACGGGAAGCCCTGCAAGTGATGCCAAGCATGCTGGCAGCACGGCTGGAGGTCCGCAGGACGCAAATTGTAGCAGCAGCGGTCGTGACCGCAGCGGCCTTCGCAGTCCTCCAAAACGATGTGAATGTGAAAGACAGAAGCAACTGCAAACAAATCAACGTTCATCTTTCACGCTGTTCCTCGTTTCATGCGACATATCTGCCTGCATAAGTAGCGACATAGGCCCCAGCTGCTGCAAAGACCAAACCTTGTGCTTCAAAGCTCAGCAATTTCTTAGCAACGACTGCAAGCCTCTTCTCGTTCAGCACCCTCAATATCTTTCAACTCCTCGCATCTGTCTTAACAATCCATACATCCGTGTGGGAGGGGACCAGTCACTCGCATTGCAGCATGTCAATCCATGGCCCAAGCTCACCGGCGGGTCCAAAGCATCTTCCACCTGCATAGGACCATATGAGGGCTCTTTTGGGTGGAAAGCATGTGCTGACCTCAGCTTCGATCAACAGTTGCTTAGGCAAGTGACTATTGGAACTATACACGACGCCACTGTTCGAGATGCCTGCTGTTGCTGCATCTCGTCCATTTTCTGCCTCACTTCGGGTGCCTTGAGCAAGCACAGGCGAATTGGAGAATCTCTGATGAGGTCCTTCATGAAGCACTGTTCTCCAGCAGTTGCAAAATGCCTCCTAAGGCTCACACACGCAGGGTGCGCATGCAACGAAGGATTGCCTGAGCCCAGCACAAACATGCAGATATCTGCATCTCTGAGTTTCAGCTGCCAATTAATTCATCATGAGCCGGTCAAGCGCTCAAATTTGTCAAAGACGCAATCTGACATCAAGATGCTCCCACAAGTTACAACGAGGAACTCGTACGTTTTTAGCTGGTTCCGGAGCTGTGCCGAAAGCCCACGATGCACCCGGATGTAGCCTGCATACCCTCGATCGAAAGCTCAATTTCTGCTCGCAGACAAATGTACAGGAAGGAGGAAAGGAAAGAAAAATGCAGAAAAGGCGAAAAAGAGTGGAGGAGATGGAGGGAACGATGTGTTGTCTTTGCATGTGAAACGAAGGCGGCTCAGTAGAGATGTCATGTCGAAAACAAGCGTTCTGCACTTGTTCTACCCCGTGGGCTTGCTGTGCTAGTCTTGGACGTCGTAGCTTGGCAGCATTTCAGCAGTTGCACTGCGTTTTGCGAAGGGGACAAAGCCGCTTTCAAAGTTGTGCTGCACAGAGTTGCAAAGTGGTTCCCTCTGAGCTCTGGGCTGCACGCTGACTCCAGGCCTGTGTGGCATCCATATACACCTGAAGAAGCACGAGATTAGCCCTCGTCTCATCCAGGCAAAAAAAGTCTTGCAGCAACTACTGGTTGGTTGGACAACCATGTCACATGCCGAATCTTCTAGCATGCTTGTGGCGGACCTCCATCGGCACAAATGCTCAAACCTACCTACCGACCGACCTACCCAAGAAGTAGGCGCGTCGGCCCACTGAAACTCTGGATTTTCCACCAGTCTGGGGGTTTGCGATAAAAAGGGACCCTTAATCTAGACTCCCAAAATGTAGGACCCCTTAAAAGAACCCCAATAAGGCTCAATAAGGTACCTCTTTTTCATGAACCCCCATATTTTGCAATGGACGTGATGCAAGGTATTTCGGCACTGGCTGTCAATGAATGTCGCCAACGTATCATGACCACTGCTGAGCCAACAACACTTACATACAGTGCGGCATTCTTCCTGAACTACACCAAAGACATATGCTGAAGTACAAACACACACACACACACACACACACACACACAAGCACACACACACACACACACACACATCCATCCACCCACCCACGCACGCACGCACGCACGAACGCATGCACTCGCACGCACGCACTCGCACGCACCCACTCGCACGCACTCGCACGCACGCACTCGCACGCACGCACTCGCTCGTACGCACGCACTCGAACGCACGCAATCGCACGCACGCAATTGCATTCACGCAATCGCACGCATGCAATCGCACGCACGCACACAATGGCACGCACGCACGCAATCGCACGCACATCATGCACCCACGCAGTCGCAAGCATGCACGCAATCGCACGCACGCACGCAATCCCATGCAGGCAGGCAATCGCACGCACACACGCAATCCCATGCACGCACGCAATCGCACGAACGCACGCAGTCGTACGCATGCACGCAATCGCACGCATGCACGAAATTTCAGTCGCATGCACGAAACACGATCGCACGCACGCACGGAATCGCGTGCACGCAAGCAATCGCTCGCACGCACGCAAACGCATGCACGCACGCAATCGCACGCACGCACGCACGCACACAGGAGCCCACCCAACCACCCACCCACCCAACCACCCACCGACACACCTATACACCTACACACACACACACACACACACAGCGACACACACACAGACACACAGACACGCAGACACGCAGACACGCAGACGCGCAGACACGCAGACACGCAGACACGCAGACACGTAGACACGCAGGCACGCAGACACGCAGACACGTAGACACGCAGACACACAGACACACACACACACACACACACACACACACACACACACACACACACACACACACTAGGGGGGTGTGTCAACCAACCAAGGCTGCGGACAAAAGTCGACAAGACCCGAAATGGAGAGCTAGTCACTTCAAAAGTTGAACGAACAACGTTGCACACTTACAAGAAAAGCACTGGTCGGATTCTACGACAAAGAGAAACAAAAAGAAGAACCAAAAAGAGCCAAAGGAGCCAAAAAGAACAAGACAACGAAAATGTTACACTGCCCCCCGGCATGTATGCGGGCCGGTTTGGGGCTGTGCGGCTGGCTGGTTAGGGGTGATGTGGATTTTTGCTGTATTGCTGTTTATCAATACCCCGAACCTCACCCACCCAATGCTGATCGACATGCAAACAGCCATACAGGGTTCATGCGTGCGCAAGGAGCATTGGCTGCAATTGACAGCCTTGCAGTGGGAGACTCCGGTGCCGAGCTCGAAAACTTCAATGGACATGCTTTACGAGCCTTGTTGGAGCAACAGCACATGGGCGCGATTAATACTTTCCGTAGGGCAAGGTTTAACTGTGGGCCCACATAATATGGCACAAACGGTAGGGGTACCCGGGTGGATTACATTTGTTTACCGCAAAGCATGCTCGGTGATGTTGCAAAGGTTTGTGTACACACTAATGAAGCAAAGAGGCTGCAGTGGCATGCTTGTCAAGGGTTACGCGACCATGTGCCCTTGTCATCCCTTGTCCATCGATTTTCAGCACACACTCTCATACAGCGGTTACGCTATGCTCATGCACACTCGCTTTGACAGAGACAAGTTGGCGAATACAGCAATTTCCGGGGAGGGTCGTCGCGACTTCCTTGCGACGGTTGATGCAAAATGCTCGCAAGCCTTGCGTGCGTTGGGTGACTTTCATCCACGGCCGTCGGTTGTGTGCCAACATTGCAAGCAGCAGTACATGAGGCCACATTGCAACACTTTAGTGCGTCGTGGCACCGGACCCAACAGAGACCAGCCGACACAACTGCAGCGTTGCAGCTCACGGCACACGCGAGGCAGGCTGTCGTTCAAGCACCGGCTACAAGAGTTCCTCGTGACTCGCTGCAATTTCTTAGCAATCTGCTTCAGCAGTGGCGTCATTTGGCGACCTTTTGGCGAGCTCGCAGAGCTTCTGATCAGTTGCTCAAACGAGATGATCAACGCTGGCAACAGCGCAGGGTTGAAGAGTTCAGTTATCATTGGTCGAAGCAGGATGCCAGAAGTTGTTATCGAGCTAGTCGGGTTCTTTCGGGGTTTAAGATGGACCCGAAGATGCGTAGATACGACCGTCCCAGGTCAGTGCAACCCACTAGTGATGAATGGCGGAAGTTCCTGGCGCAGCCCGGACCTAAAGGTGGCTGTATGGCCACGCCGTGCTCTTGGGAACAAATTCTCCAAAGTGCTTGTACCCCCAAACCCACCCATAAAACTTTGTCGGAGGCACATGATGCTGCGATGCAGGACCTTCGAGGATTGCGATGGGTTTGTAGAAAGCTGCCACTGCGCAAGGCTTGTCCCGCATGGTCCGTTCCCTCCGAAGTGTGGAGACAAGCGCTGCATCCCACGTGGCGGGTTGATACAAGACACTTCGGAGTGGGATTTGCTCAAACTTAGCAGTGTTCACTCTCGCTTTTTGATCGGCTGCTCTTCCGGTTGTTGTGGTCTGTCCGCGCATATGACGAGACGCCTGTCCAGTGTCAGCGCAGCCAAGTCGCAACAGTCGACAAGCACAATGGCAAAGAAAGACAAGTACGCCGGAGTTAGAGCCATTAACAACTTGGATGTGCTGGGCAAAGCCTACTATCGCTGGATTGGTACCAAATGCTCGCATGCACACTTCAGGCCCTAGTACGTCAAAGGAAAGTCACGTCTCGAACCGATGCTGTAACAAGAAATTGTTGGGTGGCGTGCCAGACGTGCTGGACTGTCTGTCCTTACCTCGTCCCATGATGTGGCCAATGCGTTTTACAGCTCTGCTAGAGAGACACTGTCCCAGTGTGTTGATGCAGCTTCAGGGTATATGACGTCACCAGCAGGATGAACAGGCACGTTTCCACACCTATTGTCGAAGGTCTTCGTTGGCCGCAGCTTCGACAATAGGCCTGCGGCCCCCTGCTGTCGAACAAGGATGTCCAGGCTCAAAACGAAGTCCTCAGGCCCCCTGCTGACAGAAAAGATGTCCAAGCTCAAAACCGAAGTCCTCGTGCTAGATCCAAGAAGCCGCTTGGGAAGTTGCACAAACACACACACACACACACACACACACACACACACACACACACACACACACACACACACACACACACACACACCCACCCACACCCACCCACCCACCCACCCACCCACCCACCACCCACCCAGACGCACGCACGCACGCACGCACGCACGCACGCACGCACGACGCAGCACGCACGCAACGCACGCACGCCCACCACACACCACCACACACACACACACACACACACACACACACACAACACACACACACACACACACACACACACACACACACACACACACACACACACACACACACACACACACACACACACACACACACACACACACACACACACACACACACCACACACACACACACACACACATATACCCGCACGCACACACACGCGCGCGCGCACACAGAGAGAGAGAGAGAGAGAGAGAGAGAGAGAGAGAGAGACACACACACACACACACACACACACACACACCCCGACCGGTTTGGCAGCAGATTTGTTGTACAGGCGAAGTGCAGTCGGATCTTGAATTCCCTACATTTCGGCTTTGGAAAAATGGTGCTCACTGACTCAACGACACAACATGAACATCCTACAATGACATCCCTCCTTCCAGCAAATGCTGACATAAGCACCATGTCTGTACGAATTCAGCGAACTGAAGGATCTGTTGTCCTCGTGTAAGCTGCACATGCCAACACGCTTGGCTGCAATGCTCCAGGCTGGATGATGCGCCCTTGCCGATGGATCCTCGTCAGATTGTCTTCCAGATATAGTGTCAGTCAAGTGCTGCCTGTCGTGAGGGCCATGCGTGCTATACTACGCAGAGACTGACTCAGCTGGAAGTTTTTGGACATTCGCAGGCAGCAAAGAAATCGCCTTGCATCCCGAGCTTCAATTGCTGAAACCCGGAAGCTCTTTACGGGTCGTTGAGCTGGATGAGGCACCAGGCCTTAAACTGCAAAGGCAGGGCTACACAGGTTTAACGAGTTAACGAACTCAAACAAGAGTGTGCTTAAACGACTGTAGCTGGGCTGGACCCCTATTGAAAGTAAACCCGTGTCTCTTGAAATCCATCCAGGCTTCATCACCGGGCTGCGCATGTTCTTTCGCTGTTGGCCAGGGCCTGGGCTTTGGCCAGTCGTAGAGTAGAAACAATGAAAAGAGTCACTGAAAAGCAAATGAAAAGTACTTTTTCCCAGCTGAGCAGCGATTGAGAACTCTCTGATGAGCCATTGCCAGCTTGTGCCCACGCCGGTCAAAACCCTCTCCACCATGTGCAACATGCGTGTATGGTGAACGCTCTTTGGGGCTCACCGTCGGCCCTGTCGGCCCTGTCGGCCCTGTCTGCTCGTGCGGTCGCCTTAAGTGCGGTGCCCGCGGCGGATGCTCGCTGGTTGGGGTTCCTCGGTGTCTGGTGGCCCCGTTGCCCATCTTCGGGCTCACACCGCTCACGCCGCTCACACTGCTCACACCCTTAGGGCTGGCTGCGTGGGCTGCGTGGGCTGCGTTGGCTGCACCCAGGAGACAAGGGGGATGGAGTGCATAATTGGCTGAAGCCTGTGTCTGATAGGACTGGCCGTGTCCTTGGCCATTTCCGCCAGGTGCGCTGTGACGAGGCATCCGCTCTGGAACAAATTTCGAAAGAGATTCCCTGTCCTCGTGAATAACCTCTGTTTGAGTCTGATGGCACTCTGATGCCCTGTCCGCAGTTGCATGGGTCTGCCGGGCCGACAGCGATGGTTCCTTCTCCGGCTCTGAGTGATGCTTAAGTTCGCCTTCCTCTACATCTTCGATTAGTAGAGGCTCTTCATCAGTGTCTTTATCCTTCTCCTCGTTCGTGTTATTCTGATCTGGCTTTGGCATCTCCTTTTCACACTCCTTCTCATTGAGCTCCTCGCCCTCATTTTCTTTGTCCTTCTCCCTGGCCTTTTCCTTTTGGAGAGTCTTCGTGTCCTCACGATCTTTCTTGGGGCCTTTGCGAACCTGGTAGCGCATCTCCACGTACTCACGAGAGAGAAAGTTGAGACATCGCTCCACCTCCTCATTGTTCATCTGCGCCTCGATGGAACTACGCTCCAGCGTCTGGATGCGCCGGCGCTGAATACTGAAGAGCTTGGCAATGCTCTCGGTGTGCCCGCAGGCCACAGCCATCTTCGTTGCCCAGAGACCTATACGTTTTCAACATTTTTCAACTGTCACAGTCTGTCACTTGCCCGTCTTAGTCTTTCCTGCAAAATCCTGCAACTACGCAAGAAAACATTTAGCAAACGACGCCTGCTACTCGCTCGTTCTCCAAGACAATAGTGAGCATAGTCCGGGAGTTCCTGATCAAACTCAAGATACTGCGCGACATCTGCACGAACTTGGCTTGATCCTCCACTTCATGCGTCCGTCCTGCTCACAGTCACGACCGTACCTTGACCTCAGACAACAACACACAGGTGGGGTCCACATACCAGCGCTTGCCACAGCCGAAGCATGCCTCTTAAGAATCATCACATGCTAAGAACATTCCGGTTACACCCCTCATCACACCAGCCAGACACTTACTTATTGTCACTCACAGCGTGATCTTGCAGAATGCCCCTGCAATCACCTGTCACAAGCTGAGAAAGCGGCAGTCTATCTCAGCTCCGGTTAGTTGCACGCACTCCTTCGAAAGCAAATCCTATTCAACTCGATTCCGCACAAAAACTACAAAGCTTACAGCGCGTGCAGACAGGCTTGCAGGCCTCATCGACATGAGCTGCCATTGAGCCAGAACTTGTGGCCGACTCAATAGGCTCGATAGGCTGCACAAACAACATGTCGCCCCGCAACCTAATCAGGCAGCTTTCATGTGTTGAATGATTTGATTGGGCTGTCGAAGAACATGTTAAAATCATTGAACATCAAATCAGATGCGGACCTCAGCTTGCAGTTTCCATCGATCCCAAATCGGGGACCCGAACAGCAAGCTTCGCCTACAAGCGTGTCTTTAACGTCCTGCGATGCAACTGCGAATGCCAAGTCAAGAACTGTTGCCGCCAGCACTACTAGCACATGAAGCTGCCGCTGCTGCTACTCTCAGAAAAGTGCATTATACATGCAACTCGCAATAGTGTCCCGGAGATGCGGCCGAGAAGTCTCCTGATGCAAGGAAACATCCGCTTTACACTTTGCATCAACTTAGCCGTGAGTTCGGTGGCGAGTGATTAATCACGTTCTAGCAATTCGTCTCCAAGCATAAATAAGCACAAAAGGCATAAAATAGAGCCGAGAAAAGCGGAAAATTGCCTGGCTGGCTGGGATGGAGTTCTTCTTCACAGTGCGGCGCACGGACGCAAGCAATTGCGCTGCTGCAGTCAGAGCCGAAGCCAGCCTCATGACCACCAGACGGAGCGATGCATGTGCTTTCTGTACGGCTTCCCACAACAATTGCATTCTGCAATCCGGCGACACGCCGGTGAAGCAAGGCTGATCAGAAAACGTCTGACCTGTCCCCGACATTCTTGAAATAGCCTGGGTGTCAACATGTCCGAAATCAAGGGCGCCTAAACAGTGGCTTACTTTGGGTGTACTCGGTACTCCTGACCATAGTAAGCCGCAGGCAATGATCAAAACAAGCGCCCAATCTCTTGAGCCGACATAATGGTGGGTCTTTATTGAAACTGGACATGAAGTTCCTCATTCCTTGAAAATCTAGAGCAACATCGCGTCAGTTCTCATCATTCAGATAAAGGAGTATCCTTGAAAATGTTCTGCGGATGTCGCAGCAGCAACTCACCTTTCGGGCAATGGGCCATGAAGAAGAAGTTCTTCTCAAAACATTGCATTCGAGCTGTCCGGGCGGGACAGACATCAACAACCGCAGCGCCGCCCGAGTTCACACCGCACCCTGCTCACCCGTCCTCACATTAGGTTTGGTGGGTGGGAACTTTCTTGTCTGCTGAGGCCTCAGACTGTTGGTGTCTGGGTCGCATAAATCCACCCTCCCTTTACCTCGGCATTTCCCGGCCGGCTTGCTTATCTTTTTTTACCACTCCCACATTTGGGGTGCCTGGTCTATACATGAGCCTGCCTGCTACAACAGGGCTTCACACTCGCACTCCGGATTGGGGCCCAGGCCGAGGCGGGTCGCTAAAATTACTTCGTTGCTGCAGTGCACACATGTACCGGCAACCACAGCGCCACGCGAGTTCGCCACATTGCCATTGTCCCTGTACCCCTCTCGGATGAATGCATCCAAGTTTTTGAAGCACGAGCGCAAGTCTGAACTTTCCAGGCCACGTCACCACAGTTCTGTGGATCAGCCATGCGACGTCATGCGACGTCATGCGACGTCGTGCGACGTCATGCCCCACTCTCCCGAACCAAGGCCTGTGCCTTGAGCTATCCAGGATGAAACGTTCAAAAATGTTCAAAGATGTCGTGTCCAGTGCGAAAAATGTCAGATCGGGTCTTCTGATGCCTTCGCGAGGGATTCGTGAGGGCTCCAGCAACGTCAGAAATGGCAACTGGCATGTCTGCGAACCCCGAAACCCCCCCTCCTCCCCCGCAACAATTTTCATGTTGTCACGGGCATGCCAAGAATTGTCTGAATCCATGTTTCGACCATGGAAAATGCCCAGTGGTCATCGCCCGCATTTTGACTACACTCTCATCTCCACGAAGCTCAATTTCAGGCACCAACGCTTGCTCCCTTGACTTTTGAAATTAAACAGTCCTGCCCCCCGATCCCTTGGGATTCGTTGAATTTGACGAGGAAAACCAGTGTGTCAATAGCAAAAGACCTTTGCTTCTTCTATAATGATTCGAAAACCTGTTTTCCTTCCTTTGTCTCTAAACCCCTTTTAACCTCCACTCCTTAAGCTTCACGGTCTTCCTTTTCGGAGATAGAAGAAAAATAGGTTTTCGAATTTACGATTGAAATACTGAGGAAATACAAGTTTTTTCTTCAAAATCAACGAATCCAAAAAGATGGAGAGGAAGTGGAGGGGGGATGCTTTCGAGGGTTTCGGCCAGGAATGCTTGATCTATTCATCAAGTCCTGCCCCAGGCCGGGATGACATCATCCGGAGAGCAAGGAGGTGTGTGGCAAAGCAACATCTGGCCTCATCTCCATGACGAATCGTGGTGACAGCGATAATGGTGGTAAAAGAATATGGAACCTAGCCTGGTCGGTCGACCTGGCTTTGCCGAAACTGACAAAGTGGACATCGAAGCGTGTAGGGGAAACACCTCAATCCTCACATTGCAGAGGTAGCATGTGAACGCGGCTTTCTTCCATGTTCTTCCGCTCATCCATTCCTTGTCCACTCAGGGATGGCAGCTCATTTTTAGCGAGTGGCCAGCTTCAAACCCCCAAATGCTGAGGTCCTTGCTAGATGGGCCCTCTGGCATTCAACAAGGTTCAATGCTGACAAGCCCCCTGTTTTCGTTTCACCTGCATGCTGCTTCCCATGCCGTGGAGGGCTCATTACAGGTCGAGAATATTCAATTCCAGGGCGGCCCTCTTAACGAGGTCAATGTGGCGGTGCAACGCACCCTAGACTGCGCTGCGCCTGTGGAGTTTCAAACTTCAAAAACAGTACTCGTTTACCTTCGACGGTTAAGGGGTTTCTCCAGAGTTTTCCAGTAGAAGGGAATGCAGACGGGAAAGCGCGAACTAACATGAAACACTGCTTGGCATCTAAGCCTTTCGAACGCAGAAAATCTTCATCTGTGATAACAGTTGAATGATGAGGTTTAGGTTGCATTAAGGAGTCCATCTTACCTTTGGACAGGTTTCCCTGCAGATTTCCAGCAGATGGGAGTAGACTGACCTGTGAAAATCGCACCATCTACGTCTCTGCGGTCTTGGTTTGAACGAGGCCATGGCAGTTCAAGCGAGTCAAGCCGGTGATTCGACAGCGACATGGCAGTGATCCCATGAAGATGCCATAAAACTGAAGTCGTGCTACGTAGATCTCTTGCTCAGATTCAGTCGTGCTACCACCCACTTGCACAACGTCCGATATCCCGGCATTGCTGAAGGAGCGTAGCTTGTCTCACCCAGCCATGCCTCGACAGCTCGCTTTTGACTCGCTGTGCGCTTGTTTTGGTCTGCCCTGCTGTGCTTGTGCCAAGTCAGGGGATGTCAGAGGGCATCTGCCAAATTTAGGCATCTTCGACCCAAGACTGGTTCCCAGCAAGGGATGAACGAAATCTCCCACTTCTTTATTCATCCGCCCCATGCTAAGATCTAGTCAAGTCAGCAGAACTGCTGCGCGGGCTCGTGGCTGAGGTCTTCTCACACAAGCCTCGCAAATTGGAATCTGCCCAGTCCTCAGGACCATTCCAGCAAAGACGCTTTAATGAAGCCAGCAAGAAGGAAAATGGAACAGTCGTATGCTGCGGCAGAGATTGGCCAGAAACTGCTGTTTAACAGCATGAACTCGTGTGGCCGTAGGCGAGGAATCATGTGAAACCAGAATCGTCCATGTCCAACGGAGTGTGTTTCAAAGCACAGATTCATGCATACCGATCCGAACGGTCGTTGAACGGCCTTGCAGCGCTCTGAATATTCTAAAAACTGCTCTGCAATGCCCTGAATGATCCTGAATATAAGGCGGAGGTTCCAAGCCGAGGACCTTGAGCGGATGGCGGTGATCGCGGGACCAACTGGCGAGCCCTCCAGCCTGAGTTCGTGCATATGGAGGACTTGAAGTTGTCAAGGCAAGGAGTACTGGAAATCCAAAACAGCGCCCGCAACTAAGCTCTGAACCCATTCATGCTTTCCTGCTTGAAGAGAGTAGAATCAGAGACGAAATACGATACGAAATATGATACGAATCACGATAAGTGCGAGAACATTGAGCTCTGGCCTTCCGCCCTCGGGCTGTCGCCTGGCACACTATCAGTACATGTCATGCCTGCATCATGACATGCCAATGTGACATTGGCTGTATTTATGCCCTGTCAAAACCCGGCTGGAGGATCCGGTCTTTTCTTGATCCACTCCCGCCAGTCCGGCTCCTGCTAGGCAAGGATGAGCCTACGCCGTCTATGTCTGCTTGTATGTCCACCTTGCACATTTTGCGAGACGGTTAGGCCCGTTAACACCACGCCTCTGGGTATTTGGACCTGAAACTTCTCAAAGGCTCAGACGGTGACTTCGATATGTTTTTGGCTTTTCAGAGCGGTTTCTAGGCCCTCTAGGCCCCCAGCTGTGGAAGCTGCGGAATCGCGTGGGTCGGCGAGGGGCTTCGGTCCTTGGCGCCGTTTCGCCAAGGCCACACGCGGACCTGGAACGCAGGTGAACACAGGGCCTCTTGAGCAGAACCCAATGGCGTCCCTGAGCCCTTGCGCCTCCAACGCACGGACCTGGCAGTGAAGAAGGATTCGGAAAAGGAAGAAGAGAAAGAAGTCGCGAGCTGAGAGCATCTGAGAACTCCCAAAAGTTCCCACAAGCGGGCCGGCGCTTCCAAAGCTTCCAGCCGGGCGACATCCATTGAACGCGCGTTCTCCGTCTTCACCTACCAACTACCCTAGAGGACTTTCCCACGGACTTCAACGGACTTTCCCCTCATAGCCGAGGTCTCCGTCTCAGCAAAATTTAAAAATTTTAGGAGCAGGGCATAGCCCTGGAACTCGATGACAAGCTCGTCCAAGGCGCGCCTGACCGACCTTACCGCTGGATTGAAGAAAACTAAGGCAAACCGGAGTGGAATGTCTGTGGAGGCAAGTCATGCAAGAAGTTGTGTATGTATGTGCTCTGGGCTAGCCAATCACGTAATCGTCCACGACTCAACTCGCCAGAGCTGTCGACCCGCTTCTGGAAGTTCATTGCTCGTTGTATGTCTACAAGCATGTTCAAGCCAAAGGCCACCTCTGGTTTGCACATTTGGTACATTCTTTTCCAAGACTGATGCCGTGATCAAAGGGACAAAGCATTGGACCGATGGTTTGACTCATCTAAGTCGGCCTGATTCGTGCCGAATTCAAAGTGCTGAAGGATGTAGAACAGTTCTGCTCTATCCAGGGAAACTGACAGCCAGACTCTCTAATACCATGCATATGCATCTTGCCTGTGGGAATGAGTGGAGAAAGTCAAAGCAAAAGCACACAGCTGTCTTAGACGAGATCCTTTGCAGATCATGAAAGATAGCTTCAAGATGCTTAAGGGTTTAGTGCAAACGCATGCAAACACCACACAACATACCTCCGATAGATGCACAGCCATATGCCACAACTTCGCATGCTCTGAGCGCGCGTGCTCGAAGCGAGCATTCGCTACCAGTTCCACGGCCTCTGTGAGAAAAAGCGTACTGTACAGCTCCGAAATCCCACTCTCCAAAATGCTTCCCCCCCCCCTCAAGAAGGAGACTGATTTGGAGGGAAATGCGAGCTGAGAGCTCAGAGTTGAAAGGGAAAGAAACAAAGAGATGGTCGCAAAGTGTTCGATACTTGCTTCGAGGCACCGCCGCCCGCTTCTCGGCGCCCCCAGCTGCCCCCTCGACCTCCGCCTCCAGTGCTTTTGTGGACCCGGTAGAAATGGAGCCTTTGCGCATCTTCGCATCTTCGCGCCTTGCGGTCCCTCTCCTCTTGGTCCAGGCCTAGCAATCTCAGCTTCTCGCAGCGACTCGGCTGAGGCAGGCTTGGCACCCAGCGCTCTGCCAGCTGCTGCCTGCGGCTCTCTGGCAGCTCTTTAACGTGGCTCTCTTAGCGTGGCTCTGAAAAAATCTCTTGATGTGGCTCTTGGCAGACGCTTTTGGAACCGCGGCACGAAGCACGGCCTCTGCCGGGCCAGCTCCTTGACCTCCTCCTCGAGAGCCCGGATCCGAGCTCCCTGGCAATGGATGAAAGGCACTGGGGCTGAAGAATTCTCAGAATTGTCATGAATTGTCAGAATTGTCACAAGCTTGCAGTTTGATGCGAAGCCTCATCGCCACCTCAGATGCAGACTTCTGTGGTTCAAGTGCCAATGACTCGAAGGCTGAACTGCTGAACCGTCTGCAAGCGACGCTATTGCTTCTGTGGCCCGCTGCGGATGGTGTGGACCACGGAATCCGCCTGCAGGGGGTCGTTGATGGTCTTTGTCGTTTATGCTGTGATAACTGTGATAACCCTAAGCAATTTTCGTGAAGGATGCCCTCGGCATGGCCTGGGCTTGGAGGCGGTCTTCCAAGCGCCTGACCTCCGCTTCCAACCTGCACTTTGCCGCGGCAGATCGTGTGGGTTGCTCTCTTTCCCGAGCCTGCGCAAGAGATCACTCTGTCCAGCATCCTGGCGTTGGACAACGACGGAGCAGCCTAAGACAGTCAGGATGAGTCAGGGCATGTCAGGGCATGTCAGGGCATGTCAAGCCTCAAGGTAGCTCACTCAGGCATTGGGCACCCCACTTTGTGCCACATCCGATGTTCGAGTCCTGAAGGGATGCATTTGGAAGCCCTGTTCGTATCTCTTTCGTCCGATAGAGGCCCAAGCTCACAAGAGATGACTTCTGTTCGTAGTTCCTTCACCACCTCACTTGCAAGACACACTAGGTGACACCAAGTCACCAGTCACCAGTCTGACACAGAGTTGTTGAAGACAGGGCCTTCTCCAAGCTTTCTTTCTGCTCCTTGTCTCTTCTCCCCAATTCACGCCAAATCTCAGCCTCGTGGCACGGTACGGTAATGTTGTATCCTGATTAGTGTGCTCCCCCGGAATTGTGGAAAAAAATCCAAAAATTATTCAGGGGGATCTATTTGAGGAGGACCCCCGGAATTGTGAAAAAAAATCGGGCGATGCAAAATTTCGGCGAGGCTGTCGAATGGTGTTGTCGTCCATAAATCGCGGGCTAGTTGGGTTTGGATCCAGAGGCCTAAGGGCTGAGGTTTCCTAAACCTTGAGGCCTGAGGTTGTCGGGCCCTGAAATCTTCAGCCTCCAGGCCAGACCCAAAACTAAGATTTCATTATAAAATTCTTTTGTACCGAGGCCGGGCAATCAAATTTCAAAGGGGGTAGTCCAGCAGCTTCCCGGATGCCGTATAATATACAAAGTTTGCTCCCCCGGAATTATATTTTTTTTTGCGGGCTGGCTTGGTTGGGATAGATGGATCCCCTTTAAATTCATATAAACTCATCCCTCTTAAAATCGTATGGATCCCTCTTAATTTCATATAGTCTCACCTCGTTTAGAATCATATGGATCCCTTTTACACTCATACGAGCTCATCCCTTTTAAAATCATATGGATCATATGGATACCTTTTAAATTCATATAAACTCATCCCTTTTAAAATCATATAAAACCAGACCCCCCCCCCCCCCCCCCAAAAAATTGCCCCCCCCCCCCCCCCCCCGACTAAAGAGCGGGATCCTTTCGTTGAGGGGGGGGGGGGGGCCACACTAATCAGCAGACAACATTACTGTGGCCAATGGCAGGTCTTGCTGCAACAGTGCACACTGTGGTCAGGGCGGAGTCTGCTTCGTGACCTAAGTTGCAACCAGCAAAAAGCCACACCCTGAAACACATCCACTATCATCCGCCAGGCTTTGACTTCTGCAGCGTGGCCGCTGCGATCCTGATCCTATCAGGACCCAACGGTCGTCGCAGCTGCTGAGCTTTTCGGTATCTTTGACCAGAGATGCTAATTCCTGGCAGGCTCAAAATGGACAAGTCTTGATGTGAAAAAGCGACCTCCAGTGCTGCGGCCTTCGTGACGCGATCAGCAAAAGCCAACCTTTCGTAGTCTGCCTGTTTCAGCGCACCTGAAAGGCAGCACGCCATTATGCCACATACGAACCACACAAACAGAATGAGAACTCTCCTGGTTGAATGCTTTATCGATGAGATTAACGCTCTTGTTTCGATTTCTTTAGTTACAGGCCGCCTTGAGCCTTGGAAGTTATCATGCCTTTATGCCTTGGCGGGTTTAGCTTCTTGTTTGAGAGCTTTTGCCTAGCGCTGGGGAGTGCTGGGGCGTCCCACCCAAAATCAGGCTCATGCTTGGCTCATGAAAGCTTCATTCATGCTGACCAGACAACGAGAAAGCTTGTCCCGTTGCGTGTCAGAACAGGCCGCTGCATGGCAAACCTAAAACCGCAGCCTTCCAGCTTGTCCATCCGCGGTCCGTACACCTTGCTGGAGGGTTGTGGGCATTGTTGTCATCTGTCTTCAGTTCCGCCTCGGCAAGTTCTGCTGCATACTGCTTGTCCTGCGAGATGGGATTCTGCAACACGACGCCGTGGATCAAACCGTCAGAGCTCGTGTGCACTCCTGGCTCGTGATGAAATCCCGGAGCTCTTCCATGGAAGTCTTTAACCTTATAAGTCATTTGAGAGAAGGACTTGTTGGTGTACTCTCCTCATGTGAGCCTCTCCTCTGAGCCTCTCACTCGGCAGCTAAAGCCTCCCATCGCTTCTTGCCTTTTGTTTAAGCAAACAAAGCAAGCAAATTGCAGTTAACCCTTGCAGTTTTAATGCACTTGCAGCGCACAAACTTTGATAACTTTGCGATACTTGCCGTGCAGGACACCCTCTGCCGCGGTCGCTTCCAGATCGACCGGCAGTTCGCCTAAATCTTCCTGCCATGGATTCTTTTTAAGCAAAGCACAGAAAGGACAGATGAGCAAATAATTCACTGACTTGGTCTGCGCCTCAGCTTTGTTCAAGCGTCTGAAGGCCTATCATTGACACACATCTTCGACAAGGGCAACGCAGTTGAAGTCTGGAAAAAGAAGGTTGATCTCATGATTTTGCATGCTGGGCTGGGAGTGGAAACACTCAAGGCGCAGAGAAAAAGTTGACATGGCTGTAGCTACAACAACGAAACATTGCTCATACCAATTTGTTTCTCATCCAGACGAGGAGCTTCTTCAAGCTGAGGGCGTAGTCGTGACTCGACAGCTCCGCATTCTGCAAGGACTCTTGCCTGAGACCGCACGCCCTTACACTGCCTATTTCTTGCCCCCGACAACCTCTTGCACTGCTTTCGCAAAGGTTCAGCTGCCTCCAAGTCCGAAGATGCCTTTGAGAGCTGCTCTGTACGCGCGTCACCACCTCATGGATGTAGCTTCTTCTATCTCAGAAAGAAAAGCTCGAAGCTGCAAGCACGATAGAATTAACAATTTGCAAACTGCATGCCGTAGCCAACTCCTATTTCTCAGGGCGGCGCGAGACAAAAACTAACAACTCCTACTAAGCATCATGTGAGAACTGTGTGAGAAGACAAACATTTTGAAGACACGGAGAGGCTCCGGAGAGCTTTTTGTCTCTCAGCCCCAAGCTTTGCCGCAAGGAAAGCACTTCCTTCTCCAGTTTCTTTATCTGGCCACGCAGCAGGACAATTATACCGAAGGCAAGCGCGCAAGAGTTGCAAAAGAGTTGAAAGATCGCGCCTGGGAGCTCAGCTCCGCCTCCCATTTGGGCAGGATGCCTGGTACGTGACAAAAAAAGCATCCAAAGAGTTGAAGCGCTTCAAAGCTTCGAAACTGGCCGGAGCGTGCGGGTCTTTAGCTCTGCCTTGCCAATGCACAGCATTGCAGCATGAAAAGTGTGACCTCTCATGACCCCTCCCATATCGTGTGCGCCTGGTGGCTGCCAAGCTCGTCGATTGCGAGCTGCAGGGATTTAAGGCTTGTGGCCTCGGGCATGACATGTACATGGGGCTTTGCAATCTACCACACACCTCGCATGTGCTCAAGTAGTGGCCGTAGACTCCTCAAGGGCCGCAAGCTTCTCATCCGAACTGGCGCAGGAGGGAGCTTCGCAAACACTTTACAACCTTGCTTTTCTGGGATTTCTCTGACTAATTCCGACTACATGTGAGCAAAAGCCAAATGATGGCAAACGGCAGTTTGTGCCTTTCATGGGACTTGCCTATCTCGTCAATCCGCGCCTCAGGATGCAAAGGAAACGGTTCACGTGATGTCGTGTGCCCATGTCTGCCAAAGAGTTTCATATAGTTTCATATACTGTCTCTCGGCAGCGCCTTGAGCGTCTCCAGTTGCTCCGCCTGGCGATTCTGCTCCTGTTTTTCAGACGGAACGGGGCTTGAGAGGTCCGCTCCCCACACTTCGCCCCTCTTCACTCCCCTTCACTCCTCCTCATGTTTCTGAGCCGCCGCTTGTCTCTCCTCATCCTTGGCTTGCTTTTCCGCTGCGGCCTTGAGCGTCTCCTGCAGTCAAAGTGCGGATGTATGATGTGATCAGAATGGCCCTTGATTGAGAAGAATTGTGCGACAGAAGCCTCGTGGGCCAGCTTCACAGTCTCGAGCTGCTGCTGTAGGTCTACCAGCTTCTGGGCCTGCGACGGGGCTGCAACACAAAGAACACAAATGAGTGATTGAGCACGTTGCGACGTTGCGTGCCAGCGCATTGTGCGACTCTAGGACCACGCCGAACTCTTTGGTGGCCGCTGAAGACACGAAGATCTCCTGAAAGTTCAGCAAACATGACAGACATGCGCAATGTGCGACTTAATGCGTGGTCGAGAGGCCTGGCTGCCTTGTGCCATGGCCACTATCAGGTGATCGGGAGCGCAGACGAAGACCAACGCGCTCAAGGTGCAGAAGAGATGATCTTAATGTTGTTTGCTACCTCATTCGCCATACTAAGCTTACGGGAAGCCGACTTTTGTACCCATGCATCGTTGCGGAAGCTATTGCTGAGATGAGAAGCAGATCACTGCCAAAATGCAGCAGCAACAACAACGCAAATACATGCCCGGGATACGCATTAGAATACAGTATGCACTGTCAAAAATCACGACACAGGCAGGGTATTGCACAGCGGTCGAGCCTCCAGCCATGGTATCTATCGCATTTCCGCAAACACGTTATTCCTTTCGCTGAGGGTGCTTTGTTGCGGGTTTGCTTCTCTTTCTTTCCATGTCACGGCGCTGTGGCATTTTTGATTTGCTTGCCTGCTTCCCAAGGATCGTGTCTTGGAAGGCCTCTGGCGTTATCTTAGGACATGTTTCGGCGCTTCGCCGACTTTGCGACGGAGCACCTCAGTGCGCACGTTATTGGGACGACGCCGGTCAGGCATCACCCAATTCCAGAGCTATTTTTGGGATGTCCGGCGCAGCCCAAACTTCTCACATTTGCTCCTACGAGCACTAAACATCTGAGCATAAGACCCGCGTTGAGCTTGTACCCATGCACAAGCGCATGCAACGTGGCTACCTCACTGCATGCTTACTCAGGCCTACTCAAAAGCTCGGCCACAACTACCAACCATGCCCTTGCCGTCCCTTGTTCTCTTTCCTTCGGCCCTGCTGCCTGGGGACTTTTGCCAGTCTCAACTTCACAAATAGGTGTGACACGTTGACAGCCAGCCACTGTGTGGCATCGCTGTTGAAATTTCTCTGATGTACTGTCAAACGACCCGAACGCCGCCGTTCACTGCAAGCACTAGTCCGTTACGAATGTACGCAAACAGCAACAAAAGAAGCACCAGCTGAACGCTCCCTTCTTTTGACTCGTTGGTGCAGAGGCGGACGCAGATCCGCAAAGTCCGAAGAGACCGGCAGGTCGGCGGGCAACCCCAAGAATGCTGGACGGATTCTCCGGACAGCTGAACATTGAGAACTTGTGACACAGGGCCGTCAGGGAACAACACACAAAACCCTCAACAACTAAGGATGTGATCTAACACCAGCTGGGCGGGGATGGCTTTTCAGCGATCCCGGACCAGCTAATGGTGCCGAGGCACATGTGGCTTGGATCTGGCAGGCAGTGCGTGAAGTGGAGCCATCACACCCTGACTGGGCAGAGGGGACACATTGGCCCAATCTGTCCAGCCAGAGCGCAGGCCACAGCGAGTACAGGTGTGCGGCATGGAAGACGGAAGGAAGTAGCAGCACCGGCCTGCGAGGCAAGACTGCGGGCGGGCAGACTCGCAGGCGCACATGCTATGCCGTTGCGTGACACCCCTGTACAAATACATACATGTTCACTGCAAGCACTAGTCCGTCACGAATGTACGCGAACAGCAACAAAAGAAGCACCAGCTGAACGCTCCCTTCTTTTGACTCGTTGGTACAGAGGCGGACGCAGATCCGCAAAGTCCGAAGAGACCGGCAGGTCGGTGGGCAACCCAAGAATGCTGGACGGATTCTCCAATGGTTTCAGGCTTCGGCTTGACCCGACAGGGGCGCATTCTTCAAAAAGGCGGAAAGGTCCTTCTCCAGCGGGTATGTGCAGAATGAGGATGGAAAGGCGGACCAGGGCACATTGCAACGCTCGGAGGTTTTTTTTTTTAAAGCGGACGCCTCTTTACTACATCAGTAGCACAGTAGGCCGTTCTTGTGGGTCTCGCAACTAGGTGTGAAACATATCGCCGCGAGAAGCAAGAAGGACAGGAAAGACGAACCACACCAGGAAGCAACAACAAACAAAACAAGAACCAACCAAACCAAGAAGGGGCGGCGGGACTACTAATAAGACCCCACGTGCTCAGTACCCAAGCTCGTCGATGTAGTCCCTGTTCGGAGCCAACGCAGCACCAAGTCGAGTGGGGGAATCGCAAAATGCGATTGTGTGCCAGAAGTCAAGATCACCATCACGTAATCATCTGAGTAAGTTGAATGCCAGTAGATAGGATGTCTGCATGCTCGCAGTAGTCTTGGCAGACATTCCAAGGACGGACGGTCTATTCTAAATGCCACAGCTGTCGATGTCCGACTGTTGTCATAACCAAGACCTGCAGTAAACCACCAGCGCCCCGACCCCTCCCAGCCAGTTTGCCCCATGGTGATCAGCCAGTGGGGTCTTCTGTATAGGCCGCAGCCAACTGCACAGTGCAGCGTAGAGACACTCGGTGTTCGCCGTTCTGAATCTTCTTACCCCATGGTGACCAGCCAGTGGGGTTATCCAAGAGTAGCCAAAGGCTACCGCTGCGGTCGATGTTCGACTATTGTCATAACCGAGACATGCGGTAAACCACCAGCGCCGACCCTCCCACAGGGGGGGTAGGCCAGTTTGCCCCATGATGATCAGCTAGTGGGGTCTTAAGGGGACACAGCCCCCTGCACAAGGCAGCGCGAAGGCACACGGTGTTCGCCGTACCGAATGTTCTTACCCCATGGTGATCAGCCAGTGGGGCTATCCCAGAGTAGCCAAAGGCTACCGATTCCATCACTCTTGACAGGTTCTGTCCTCCAACAAGGCATGGTGCCTTAGGAGGGAGCACTGACGACACTTGGGCAACGTTTGTGTTGGCAGAGTGCCAGCGCGTTAAGGGCTGCATTATTTGCTCGTACTGAATTGCTCCCTCATCCTTATGCCTGTAAGGACAAGACGTCACCGCTTTGAGAGCAGAGGGCTCTAGCTCTGTGGGATTTCGATGACCGTATATCTTGCACCAAAGGCTAGTTAGCTTGGTTTTGTAGGGAGCCTCGGGTAGGCAAGCCTTGCTAGCGGCCCGGTGCACCGTAGCCCAGCACCTGGTGCCAAAGCAAGGGGCGTTGCCCGGATGTCATCGGACGCGGAGGAGTGGCCATGGACATTGAGGTATTGTTTGCTGTACGCCGCCGCGGAGGGCTCCGTGGCACTTGGCCTATCTAGAAAACCCTCCAGGTGATTTGTGCGGTTATCCTCGGCAGAGGGTGGTTCCCAGTGAGTGCACTTGGGCTCATGGCAGCAGCCATTGGCCTTGGGCTCTGGGCCTTTGCAGGGCCAGCATGGGTGGTTCGTGCAATGCTGATACATGCGTGGTCTTGGCAGCTGGCAGGCGCGGTGAACCCACAGCCCTCGCCCACTCGGCTGCGGTGCACCTGTCAATAGGGCGGCGCGGGAGGTCCTATCACAGGTTTGGGTTGGGGGCTTAGGAGCCGGAGAGCCGTTGTGTGAGTTGGGTTGGACACCGGGACGTCTTGAGTAGAGGTGCTGTGCATTGATTCTGAGTGCTCGGCCGGCGTGGCGACCCCACTGCCGTCGTCCTGCTAGGTGCCACCTGGGGTCATGGTTGGCTGTCGCCATCTGGCTGGTGTCTATGACATGTCTAGTTCCAGTACAGCAGTACAGGCAGTGTGGGGAGCGTGGTTCTTGGAAGAGGGCCGTGACCTGCATCACTGTCTGGTATCTGCAGGCTTTCCAGGCGTCGGAGCATCATGGCGCGTCTTGCTTTGTTCGCCGCACTATTGTCCAGGAGCGTCGGCACCAGAGCCAGCATCAACTCCCTGTACCGTCCGCCAAACTGTCGGCATCTGTGTAACATGTGTGTATCCAATAGTTGCAACGCTTCAGGTAGCTCCGTTGCATTTGTGACCAGAGCACCACCAGTGTTAGCCCAGCTTCGAGTGCAGTCTCCGTTGCCTTGCCCAGCGGCCCAGTGGAAAATAGCGATTGCTCCGTCTCCAGGGCTGCGGTGACGAGACACCAGGCGTCTCGTCATTTGCATGGTTTTGTCCACCAAGTTGACGGGGCCTGAATCCGCATCCGCATGCTCGCTACTGGAGCCGTCACCATCTTGCTGTATCTGATGCGGTATCCCGCGAGGAGGTGTTGCCAGTGGCTGCCGTTGAGCATTGTGGTGCTGTCGGATCCTGGCCACCGCCGCCTCCACTCTTTCCAAAGGCCCATTGCTACTGGCTGACGCCGAACATCCTGGGCCAGCAGCTTGATTCCCTTGTCGGATTGCCTCCTCGTGACTGCTGAAGGCTTGCAGGGCGATCTCCAAGTCTGCCAGCGGTGCCTCTCCAATAGTCATGGTGTGGCCTGAATACCGGTTTAAGAAGCCCCAATCCTGGAGAACTTGCGTTGCTTTGTCACCCAGCATTCTGCACAGCCCCTGATACGCTTGATTGCCACCGAGCTGGTTCAGGGCCTCGTCAATGGCCGCCATGAGCTGAAAAGGTTGAAGACCATCATGAAGCATACCTTGCAGGAATAGGGCCACCCTGATCACAGCATCATCAAGCTCATTTGGGCACCAGGTGACGGTGTTCTCGAGCGACTGGAAGAGGCCGCATAGTGCCTGACTCGGCTCTCGGAGCACCTCGAGCGGCACGACGTTGGGTGACCAGGCAGGCTGGCCTTCACTCCAATACCAAGTTGCCCCTTCTGGCTCCTCAAAAGGATCCGTGTCGTTGGAGGCCTCGTTCTCATCGGGCTCCATGACGGCAGCAGGTGCTCCGTCTTCGTGACTTCCAGATGCAGTGGCCATACCCGACATGATCTGCGTCTCCTCCTCCTCCATAAGCGTGGCATTCTCCTCACTGCCCTGGGCCATTCGCCCACGGCAGGAGCACAGGATGCATACGACGGGCCACAGCGCACGTACCATGATTGATCTCGCCTACAAGCGTCGTGAGGGGCCCGGTTGAAAGCGAACCTGTTTGGGCCTCAGGCACGGTTTACCACAAAACAAAACCCCTTTCAGGTTTGAGCCGATAAGCCTTAAGGAGAAGCATTTGCCAGTTCAAGATAAACCTGACTGAGGACATGGGTCAGTTTGGCTCTGGCAGCTTCTCCAACATTGTAGCCCATAGCAGCAAGTACAAGTGCTGCTTGTTTGGGGTAGGGAGCATAATGCTGACAATTTTCTTTGCTCCATTGAGCACAAGCAATTATGCGATATGCAACAGCAACGGGGCAGTATAATCCTGCAATGCATCGCCTTACCTGTTCCTGAACATTCGAAGGGACTTCCACTTGGAATCTCAAAGACGTGCTTTTTCTTCGCACAGTCTCGAGCCTTCCTTTATCAGCTTCACAATTTTGTTGGATCCTTCAGCACCACTAGCCTGAGCACTTGATTGTGCCCCTTCTGGTCCACCGTTAGGCGAGTCGCAACATTTGCCAGTTGCATCAAGGGGAGCTTTATGGAGCAAAGTCGGGCACTGGGCAGCATCCGATTGCTCCAAGCCAACATGAGGCCGCATTGGCACCTTATTATTGGCACAAGGAAATGTGCTGGTAGCTTGTGCACTTGGTTGTGCCCTTTGTAATTCATTGTTGGATGACTCGTTACCTTGGCGAGCTGTAGTAAGAGTTGCCTTATGAAGCAAGGTCAGACGCTGGGCAGTGTCCGATTGCTCCAAATTGGCATCCAGCTGCATCGGTCCTTTGTCATTGGCGCGAGGAGATGCATTCTGTCTAGTCTTAGAATCAGCCTCAAGTCCATCTCCGGTGCTCAAATTGAATGAATAGATCTCGCTAGGATGAGCCCCAATTAGCTTTAACGTGTCACAGGAGTGACATCGTGGGAGGAAGAGAAGAGCACCTTGGTGCAACGAGAGAATTACGTTGTTATTCGCTGCGGTCCCAGGATGACAGACTAAGGAATGTCCGTTTCTGAGGATCAGCGGGATTTCCAATTCGATTTTACCAACAATTCGAATCAGGAGATATTGGACGATCCCGACTTCCGCAGTAAAATCTTCTTCATTCCTGCATGGGCTTGGTAAGCAATCCGGCACAGCCCAATTCTGAAAGATGGGATTTCGCTGAAGAAAAGATTGAATGCTTTGCAACTTCAAGAGCTCAGGGACATCTTCACACTTGCCAGAGATAACGACATACGGCGCTTACTTATCAATGATCAAGAAGTGTGTTTCAAGATCATCTTTACACCACAAGGTGCTGGCAATTCTTTGTTTCGCGACAGGTTGATATTCGTCCCTTGCTCTAACGTGAATCAGCCTTCCCTGCCCAACTCTATCACTTCCCGAATGACAATTCAGGAAGTGCTCCCTGGGGTTTTCTGAGATGTGATTGATGGGTTTGCTGACCTGCCATTCCTGACAACCTTGCCTTGCATGCGGCAAGATTCCACATCTTCGGTGCTAAGCAACCACAGGAGATCTTTACCTGGAAAGTCACTGCCCCAAGCAACACCTCCGAGGTTGCCCTGCAAATCACCTTTCAAGATCGTACTGGAAATTTGCAGGAGGTCCGTGAATGTCTTGAGCAGGCTGTTATCCCCGCGCAGTACCAAGGTATTGTTCACGTGCAAATCAGAGAGGATGTTGTTGTGCCAGTGGTACATGTAACTGCACATATCACCATCGCTGCAATGCTTATGCAAAATCAATACCTTGACCTTCCATGCGGCAGAGTAGCTGCTTCTGACGAAGCTCAAGTATCACTTTCTGCAACTGGAAAGGGTCAGCGAAGATCCTGAGGTACCTCCCAGGTGCAGAATGAAACGCATTCATCAGCCTGTGCTGGTTAAGGATACAATGTATCCTGAAGGCTTCTTCCTTCCGCTGGTTTGAACTAATGGAATAAGGAAGGTCGGCAAAGTTGATGCAATTGCCGGGCAACCCCTCTAGTGGCGCAAAGCGACACCAGACTTGAAGCTCAATTTGCAACTTATTCTCTGTCCGTTTAAGCACCTGATCATAGAGCTCTTCTATCTTGAGCATTCTTGCTTGAAGCTGAAGAATGCTGATTCCTCTAGCTCTGAGGCAAATTGCACATCTGTTGTCTTTATCAGTTAACGCAAAAATTGGGTGTTGCGCTTTCTTGACATATGCAAGTCCGAAAGTTCTGATAAGAAGATTGACTTCTTCCTCAAAAGTGCCTACCGTGCCAGCAATGATGACGTCAGTGTTACTAGTCTCTTGTCGCATGGCAAGCGTGACAGCGATGTTGTAGCATGAAGTATGAGTTGGGTGCTGACTATTCGGAGTGAAAGAGACAAGATAGACTAATTCACGCTTATCCTGAACTTCAATAGAACCGATGACGTTAAGCTGTGAACTTAACGCAAGAAATTTTCATCATAGCTTCGATAGAGCACACATGGGAGATCAGAGACTGAAAGAGAGCTGTGCAAATTGCTTAATATCGTTATGCTCGCCTGTGGAGTGATGTTTTTCTGCAGCTTTGCAGAAAGTTCTTGCTGGGATTCACGAGCAACGCCGAGACTGTCCATTCTGCACATCCAACTTATCCAAATAGGACAGCATTTCTTTCCCCAAGTCACTCCAAACCAGGTGTACAAAGGACTAAAGGAAGTCTTTGCAGTTACCTCCACTGAATTTAAGTTTAAGGCGGCGGCAGTTGATACGTTAGGCATTGCCTGTCACAACCCGACCTTTCCGAAGCTTCCGAAACTCAGAAGAAAAGCAAGCGATCGGATATTCTAGAGGCTGAAAAGCAAAGAAAAAGCAAACGGAGAAGAGTGGATGTGATTGCTGCTCCGCGTAGGCAGTTGTGGTAAATGCCCCTACGTTGCGCTATTATTTTCCGTTAGTTGTGAGCGCTGTCCACACCCTTTTATTGCTACTTCTGCTACTGTTAAGGCTCAAGCAAGTTGCAACAACGTCGAGCACTAAGCGTGGGGAAACACCTAGACGTTTGCCGCTTTGTGGGTAAGGGTTTCTGTGGTTGTGTTTTTTTGTGGAGTTTTGGTGTGTGTTTCCATCTGAACATACCGCCCTGGAGCACAAGTCCCGGCATTGACGATCCGTGGTCGTTCAAGATAATCGAAAAGAAACGAATTCACCTTCCGTCGTCCAGAAACGCGCCCGACCATCTGGGTTCTTGACCCGTTCTTCCACTGTTTGCGGTGACCGTGTGCGCGTTCTTTGTTCGCGGCTCCGGCCTCCCTTTCTCCAACAGACTACTTACTGGTTGCACCAAGCAGGTTCCTTGACCGTGGGGACAGGTAAAACAGTAGGCGCGAAACCGCACAGAGGCAAAGAAGTCTGTGAACGCCCGGACACAACATGCAATGCTTGCTGCCTGTCTTGCATCCGCTGTTCTTGCTGTCAAGTCCCCACTGGCTAACCACCATGGAGCGCGCGCTGGTCTTTCCTCCTGCTGCAAGCTAATAAGAGTTTGACTGTCTGGTAGTCCGTTCCGGGCCATTCAATGCGCAAGAAAAGTAACGGACCACTGGCTGGGCCGATGAAGTCTCCGATGACGGTGCCGCTCCCGACCCCACCAGAGCTCGTACGCCCGCCGGCAACCACGAACACTCTGAATCTGAACTCTTCTTCCGCTGTGACCTCGGATTTGCCTCCTTCTGCTGCATTGCAAACCTCACACATGTCCGTTGGTGCTCCTCTCCCGACACTGACTCCGGCCTTGCTTCCATCCCAAGCACTCGCCCATCACTGTGCCGCATGGCTCCCCTTTGGGTGAACTGTCCGCATTGCCGCCTGGCAGTGCCTTCGAGCCGACTTAACAGAGCAATACTTGTGGGCACGCCTTCGCCTGCCTTCGTTCCTGCTGCACCGCCACTTGTGCCTAAGTCAGCTCCTTTTCCAATTCTCCGGACTCTTTCTCAGTTGTCAGCCCGGCCGCAGCCACTACGCCTCAAAGCCGGCCACGCGGTCCTGCGCAGTCTTGAATCCGCGCAGCATCTCCTCATCCGCACTCGGGCCAGCCTGCTTTGATAAGCCGAAGCCCCGAATCCCCGCCCTTCCTAAATCTCTGATCCCGCCTCTGCCTGCTCCTAAACTGCTTTTTTTGGACTGACGCCTCTTTACTACATCAGTAGCACAGTAGGTCAGTCTTGTTGGGCTCGACGTAATGGGTGAAACGAAGTCAGTGCGCGTAAAGCACCAAAACCACCACGCAACAAAGGCGCTGAACGTCGCAAAATGAGACACTGCCAGATTCTTAAAACCACCATCATGTAGCTACTGGTGCGCCATCATTCAGCTCAAACCGAGGTCATCACTCGATAGTCAGAATTCCGCACTTGTCGTCAAGGACAGATAACGGACCCGCATCGGCAAAGAGATGCCAGACAAAGAAGCTGAAGCGAAGAGAAACTTTGCCCGTTGTTTGTTCTTAGCCTCCTGTTGCTGTTTCTTAGGACTGCACTCCGCATACCGTCCGAGCCATGGCTTGATCGGCTGTCTTTGGATCTACCATTACAGCTGTGCGAGTTCGGGTCCTCTACAACCGCCGCCCGCTACTCAAGGACTCTCACCGCTGTGCTGAGTCGTTCCCTCTGTTGGAACCGTGCCGCTGCAGGTGCGAGCACCGCACCTCTAGAACGGCCTGGGCCTGCGTCCAGCTTGGTGCTGCACTCAGTTTGTGCCGCGTACACTCTTCTGCTTGCTGGGTTTCGACCCTCAGTAGCTGCGCTCGGACAGTACTTTGACCGCTGACCTGCTCCTTGGCACCTCCTGCCTGCTGTCCGCTGATTCAGGCCAGGTCATTCCGAACCGCGCTCGACGATTGGTACCCAAAGACTTCCAAAGTGTTTTTGTTGTTTCGGTCACTTCTGCTCCGCTTGCATGTTTTCCTGTCGCCGAAAGCTCCCTTGATGATCACAAGCTTCAGCTTCCTCTTCGACCTGCCAGCCCGTGTCCACGCCATCTTATCGCGCGCAGACCCCTACCCCAGCCCAGGCTGCCGCAGCTGCTGTTTGCTGCCGCCCAGTCCGCTGGTCCCAGTCCTGCTCCTGCACCGCCCGCAAATCCGCAGCTGCTAACCTGGATGCTGCTGCTGATGTCCGTGAGCCCGGCGAGCTTCTGCATTGCTGGCGTTCCATCTGCGAGCACAGCCTCTACACTTCCCGCAAAACCTGCTCGACCAGCTCCAAGGCTCGGACCGCCACTGTGAGCCAAGACTCGAGTCAAAATGCACATGCTGGACTCCGATTTCAAAACATTCCGGTTCCATGTGGTTCCATCTTCTTCTTCGCAGCCTGGGCAAGGCAGCCCGAATTTGGGATCCCATTGTGATCCATTGTTGTGATAGAATCGGAGTCCAACCTGGGATTCAGGGTGCCTCGAAGTCATACGGGTTTGAAGCATTACAAAGGTGTACTAGGTAGTACGCCACGTTCACGTGTGTTCGAATACGTTCACCTCGACTCTACTAGCACAAGTGGCGGTATGTGGCGGTCAAGACCCTGACCGTTTCCGCTCGAGTTGCATAACCCCATAACCCTGCCATACCCTGCCCTTGGCTGTAGTTATGACAGTTTAGAGCCTAGTCGGTGATGCCTCCCCGATGTGCATTCTGAAGTGCGATACCTTGACCACGTGCTGTCTTCCAGGCGCATGTTCATGGCTATGACCATGGCTGCAGCTCGTCTGAAAGGTAGCGGCGCTCGGGGCGAAGACCTATGCTACGGGCATGTGGTGCTGCTATGTGGGCAGCTCGGGGTTCACTGCGCCTGCCTTGCTCACGCTTGTGTTTCCTGGATGTCTCAAGCCATTGTGCGTGCTGGCACATGCTCCATGAATTGCCCCAAAAACAGTTTCATCGTGCAGGTAAGTTTTTGCTGATAGGAGTTCAATGTCCCAGCATAAGGTGGTAAAGTGCAACTTGATCAGTCCCTTGCCTTTGCAACTGGCCGTTTAGGCCATGGCCGTTTTTCTTCGCTTGTGCTTGGTCCCCTTCCACAGAAAAGTCCTTGGTTCGAAGGCTGGTATACTCGCATCAGCGAGACTCCATCTGGTCAATCTGTCGGCCTGATCGTGGAGCATTATCCGGAGAAGGCTGAGTTGAGTGATGCAGCGGCATATTTGGCGCTTATCATCGATGAGGGCAAGGGCAAGACAACCGTCGTCGAGGCAAATCCACCGGGATTGACGGTGCTTAAGCATGGGGCCGCCATTGCCAATGAACCAGATGATGCGTCGTGGCCGGATTTCGAGGTCAGTGCTGGTAACGGCACACTGATGATGAAGCAGACAGGCACGCAGCAACGGATCTCCATGTGGTTTCCTCGCAAGGCTTCCGCTTCGATGCGAATCTCACGGACCCTGTCCCATGGGGTTCGTCCGGAGAGTCGCCTGAAGGCTGGGCCGGAAGGCTGCCTTTCTTGGCTCTCCACTGGTTCGTGTACTCCCTGAGTTCTCATGCCAGCTACCGGCTGGAGTCGCCACTGGGTGTTGTTCTCGGCCATGGCCGCGCGCATCAGGAGAAGAACTGGGGCCAATCCTTTCCCAAATCTTGGACTTGGGGAGAAGGACTTCAAGGCCTGCTGCGCTCTGTCTCTGGCTCAGATGACTCAGATGTGTTAGTTGCGGCTGCAATAGATGAACGTGGCAGGTGAAAGCAAGATCGCGTTCGCGGGCGGCACTGTGCCACTGGGACCCCTGAAGGTTCCGGATGCTTACCTCTTGGGGCTCCGCACTCCGAAGCTGAGTCTTGGAATGTTTTGGACCGCTCAATTTGCGCAAAAGGTTTGCGCTCAGTTTATCTCATTCTGCGAGACGCTCCCCCCGCCCCCCTGCGAATCGTGTGATAAAGAGCCGCCTTGTCATGAGGAACTGGAACTTCCACCCACAGGATCCGGCCGTCTTTTGGGTCTCGAACGATGCCTGCCGGGGTCGCTTGAACGTCACGGCCACGACTGCAAATCGGATGCTTCGGCTCTCCATCCAGGCGGACCGGGGCCGGCTCTGCGTTTTCGCTGGGTTAGGAAGCCCCAAACCCCTCCCCCTGCCGCATCCGGGATGCGAAGGCAAGCGCGGAAGAGACGGACGGACTCTTCAAGGTGCAGGGTCCGACAATGAGTGGTTTCAAGGCAGACTCCTTTGAGAGCTATCGCGAGCTAGCTGTGCGAGTGCTGTGCTCATCTGTGCTTGTGTGGGGTTTGCCACATTGGAAGACCTGTCGCAGGCATCTTGCACGACAAGCTGGAGGAAAGGATTGAATTCAAACAGTCGGCCATTGAGTTCGGAGGGGAGGCTTGGATGTGCCCATCAACTTTTGGACCAGAGCCCAAGCTGCCCAAGCTTATGGCGCCCGCACCTCTTCGAGCAACTGAGCCAAAGCATCCACGGCGAGTGCGCAAAGAGCTGCGCAGCCTCTCAGTCCAGCAGCGTGACCGCGTGTTCAATGCCATGAACGTCATGAAGAATATGTCTACTCTGCAGGGCCAGGTTTCTTTCGGTCGCCGCTACGTCTCGTACGACGACTTGGTCGCACAGCACCTGCAGGCTGCAGCTGCAAGACACTGTGATGAGGCTCACTTAGGACAGGGCTTCGCCACCTACCATCGTGCCTTCACGCTCCGATTTGAAGAAAGCCTTCTGGCAGTGGACCCAAGTATTGGTGCTTTACCATACTGGGACTACAACATCGAGGCACGGAGCAAAGATCCTCGTCAGAGCGAGATTTGGGAGTGGTTCGGAAGCAGTGAAGGTGATCCTGCCCAAGGCAATGCAGTGAAGGATGGGAGGTTCGGGCACTGGCGAGTTGCTGCAGCCAAAGAGATCTCCAACTTGTCGAACTCCTTTGGTCTTTTGTGAAGCCCTTGGAATGTGAACCCGTCGCCTTTCATTACCCGACATCGCTTCTCCTGTGGCTCGCAAACTCATTTTGAAGCAAGCTTCTGGGAGCTGTGCCTGAAGGCGCCTACCTACTTGGAGTGGTATGCATGCGTCGACCCAACAATTCATACCTGGGCTCACAGCTTCCTAGGAGGTATTTGGGACACGGAACGCAACGTTTCTCGAGTGGAGTGCTTCGCGACCAATGCCATTGGCATCCCCGCTGCGTGGGGCGACGACTGCTTGCAGTGCCAGCAAAATTGCACAGAGCCACATGAGGCACAGCGCTCTTGCTCGTGTCAACGGTCCGGGGAGCTTCGCTGCTTGGCGGACAGGATTTTGGCTCATAAGGCGCCGACATATGGGGACTTCGCCGATGCCTGGACATCCCCAAATGACCCCATCTTCTTCTTCCACCATGCCAATGTTGACAGGCACTTGATGACCTGGCAGCAGAGACATCTGGAAAAGGCTCCCCACTTCGGATTTCTTGAACCCTCCATACCATGTAAAGGCCATGGCCTGAAGGACATCATTGGAGCAGCTCATCCTTTCGACGGCACATTACTGGGACTTGAGGATGGCCCGTTGACCAATGAAGAGGTTCTGGCAGCCGATGGGGTTCACTCAGACCCATATACCTACGACACCCTCAAGCAAGCAAAGCAAGCAAAGCAAGCAAAGCAAGCAAAGCAAGCAAAGCAAGCAAAGCAAGCAAAGCAAGCAAAGCAAGCACAGGAGCGACCCTCTTTGCGCAGTCGCCGCGGGGAGTGGTCTGGACATGCTTTGGCTTCAGCAGTGAGGCACATGTCATCAAAGCCAGCACAGTGAGACCCTTTCCGGTGCCAGGCGCCGGAAGAATCGGGCTATGGAGGCATCAGTTGCCTCTTCTGATAAACCATTCTGCGTGTGCAGATCCTGCCACATGACAAGCAACACAGTACTGCCAAACAGTGCTTTCATGCAAGGTGGGTTACAGTTTTTTTTCAGCCGCTGGTTAGGGCTTTGTTCGTTGCTTGCGAAGCTTGCTTCGTCAAGTCCACTACTTGCAGGCTCCGGAAGAAGTGCCGCTTGGGCACCACAAAAAAGACTGCACCACACTTCTTGCTGGGTAAGAATTAGAATTCTCTAAGTGCCAGGTGTGGAAGCAAGTGGGCTGTGGTAGCATCATGTAAGGAATCTGAGGAGCGGTTGGGCAGCATAGAATATTTGTGAACTCCTTCCCTGGAAGCATCGACGAACAAAAGCATCTTTGCAGGTTCGGTTAGACCTGATGTTCCGGCTCACATCTCATTTATAATGCATGCCTGGGGTCCGATCCACTTGCTGTACTGGTACCGACCGATCATGCATGTAGGCAGTGTGAACTGCGAGAGCCAGTCAACACGAGGGCACCGCGAATGAGAGAGACAGGACAGGAGTCCTAGACGGTTTTCATAACCTGCTGCACTCCAGTCGTTGACTGCTTGTTGAGGCTCGTGCCGACCCTGGCGCTCGCACTGCATGTGTGTGAAGGCTTTTTGGGTTTTTAAACGTTAAAACAACCTTAGGTGTGAGCACACTTTGAAGAACTTCAGCTTGCTCCGGCATGTTTGCAGTTTGTCATCTGGGGCGCCACACTTCTCCAGCTTGGAAATCAACTTGCACCGGTAACACTAGCTCCACACAGGTCCCAGGTTGCTTGCGGCCCTCACTCGCGTTTACCAGGCGTCACCCTCCGACTGTAGTTGATCTTGAAGACCGTGGTGGAGCGCTGAGATGTGGCAGATTGCTGGTGGATATCGTCAAGGATGGAAGGTTCAGCTACAACACTCAATTGGATGTTCGCCTGCAGGTCGAAGCTTTTGACATCAATGGCGCAACTTGGTTGTGCTCAACAGATTGCCGATGTGCAAGCTTGTATGACTCTTGCATGTAACGTTGTTTCGGCAGCAGAACGCCACAGGTGCCTAGGACTGTGGAATAGGCCGATGCGGGCTAGCAGTTGTCATGCGCAGCAGGCCTCTGGATTGAAGGTGGCGATTTCAGGAAACGGCTTGTAGATGGTGGCCATGTTTATTTAGCATGTTGGTATCAGGTTTTGAACACCTGAGTCACCCAAGTGCTTTGAGCACAAGCCACGGGGGAATTCCAGCCACGCCAGCCACCGCCGCCGCCGCCACCAGCACCACATTGCTAAATTCCGGACAGGATCTTGAGAGGTGGTTCCGTGATGGATCTAGTTGGCCTTGCTTGTAGGGTGTTACAACGAGTTTGGTTTAGTTCATTGGCTCGAAAGCTAGTTGTGGTTTTCTCAGCAGACCACGAACCACATGCTTCGCCTGGATTGTCCGAGTGTGAGCTCCGAAACCCTAGAAGACTTGCGGCGACAGTGGCACCAGCTGAACGAGGAGAGGGCCCAACAGGGCCCAAAGCCTAAGAGCTCCAGGGATTTCAAGACATCCCCAGTGAGAGATGTTAGAAAGACTCGCCTGCGTCTTGTCCTGGATTTGTGTTTGGAGAACCTGTTTCCTTTTTATGATTGGCTCAAGCATTAGGCTTGCGGTCAACGAGTTAATAGCGCTTTAAAGCGTGAGCCGATTCAGAAACGTCGAGCACGGCTTACTTAAGCTGGTGTTGTAGTTTTGAAAAAGGTTTTCCTTCTGTTTTACAAAGTGCCTCTAGTTGAAAGAAAATATTCCGCATGCAGCAAGATCTTTGCCGAAACCATCAAGACACCATCTCTTCATTGTTGCTGTGCAGCATCTTCAGAGATCCAAAGGTCTGACTGCATGCTTCGAGTATGGCATCATGTGGCCATGTCTTTCTTTCATGAGACACTGCCTTTAAGCCCAGCTTGTTGCCTGCAAGCTTTGTCGCGAGCACGTACGGCCTCGACCCTGGCCGCCTCCTCCACCTCCTTGAGTGGGGCTGGCTCCGCTTCTCAGCGCGCCGCTGCTTGCAGCCCTCGCTTCCGCGGCCCTTCACTTGTGACCAGCTGCTCAGCCTGCAGTTTTCTCGCTTACTTCGCGCCACGGATCCGGTGGACAGTTGCTCGCCAGTTTGGAGTCCAGGGTACATACCGCTTCGAAGACGTGGCCTCCGTCTGCGGAGGCGTACCATACCGTGGTTGCCCAGACCAGGCATGGGTAGCAGCTGCGTGGGGGGCAAGACGGGTTCTTAGGAGCCGCATGAGTCGGTGACTACTGGAGCAAATTGAACGGTGGTTGCGCGGAACTCAGGAGCGCTGTGTTGATCCAGGCTGTTGGTCCGCTGTTCACGTGGCAACGCAGTGCCACAGGTCATGCACATTTTCGATGCGACCTTGCTCATGATGATGACGATGCTGCTGCTAACGCTGCTGCTGATGCTGATGCTGCTGGTGATGGTCAGTTGCGCGACTAGAAACTCCTTCGCGATAACGCTTTCATTGGTCAGAACTTTAAAGCCCGTCTAGGCTACAAAAACGACGTCGCCCAGGCTTCCTGTGTTTGTTGATTTTGTTGTGACATGCAACCAGTGTATCTGCTGGAGTCCAAGGGCTGCGGGTTACACCTTTCAGGGTTTTGTGCAAGAGAGCCCCGTATGCATGCGCCTGCATGCCTTCGCCACTCCAATTTTGGCTCCGAGTCTTTGTTGTCACTGGGATTCGAGCAGCAACAACACAAAATCGAATTTGTTCCCAGACGGTTTTAAGTTTTTTTAACTGCACAAGGATATGTGAGTCAGCACAGCCCCAAGGATCCGAGCAACCTCCATGGAGTCATGGAGGCCATATGGACTTCAGGGCCCAGAGCCGAGTCCGGTCCTGACAACAAAGCCCTCCCCCCGACACTCCTCTTGTACACCTGACACGATCACCAGATCAACCGAAAAGCTACCATAGCTTAGAAGCAGACATCACGCATCCCTTCAATGTGGATTTAGAGCTTCGGGGCCCCGATGCCCATGCCCATGGATGAAGGCACTGGCATTGTGCGGGGTGGGGAGGGGGGGGTTGGGAGCTCTACAGTGCGGTCAGGGCCGATGGCTTGAGCGATTGCGGGCTTGAGGGGTTCTCAAGTCTTGGGATTTATTCATCGGATTGTTTGGCTTCGGGCACAGGATCTCTTGCGGCCAATTGAGCGGAGGAGGTGGCCTAAGGCTTCTTGACCCTGCGTCATAGGTCCCGTACTTCCCGACACAATGGCCACGCAGCGGCGGTCATGAGGTTTAAATTGAACCACCCTTAGCCATGATCTCCGCTTCCGAGACCTTAAATCCATTTAGGATCCGGGCTTAAACGGTCTCGGACGCAAAGTGTTTGAACTTTCAAGTAGGTTCCTGCATTTCCTTCTTTTTCTGCTTTGGGTTCAGGGTGTTGGGTGCTTGCGCGGGGTAACCAGTTTGTGGAGCTCCAGACCTTGTAGACACTGTAGAGTGCACGGGTGAGTTTCCTCAAAAGTTCTTGTTACTTGTAGATACTGTAGGTACTCGTCGCCCGAAGCCTGAATCCTAGGCCCTGAAACGCAAAATGCTAAACTCTGGACCAGAAGGGTGCATTGAGGCTCCTACATCTGACTTTCCATCGTCAGCGATCAAGGGGCACTTGGGGTTGTACTCACTGGACCGTACTCTAGCTGGCCTCTCCTCCCAGGGCCAGGGCCCAAGGCCCACCGGTGCCGGATGGGTCCAGAAGCTGCAGAGCTACGCCCGGGGCTTTGAGGGCTTTAACAAGACAAACAACAGAGGACTCTGCATGGCTCTTTTAGCGCTTGGTTTTCGAAGGTTCTTAGGGTGGAACTCAAAGGAAAATTGACAGGCTTGCAAAGCCATAAGCCCTACTGTAGAGACCGTCCCAAACTGGCCCTCAAGCCCTCGAGCCCTCGAGCCCTCAAGCCTTCGAAATTCCCAAGGTCCACCATCTCCCCTATGATTCGTTCAGTGCCAGCAGCCACTGCAGCAACGAGAAGCTCTTCGAGGCTGGGTTGGGGTTTTGGCCGACAGGGATTCAGGTCTTT